TTGGAGTGCAGAGAGTATCAGCACAGCTGCCCCACAGAAAGAGTTTCACCGGCACGACATCATCATTCAGAGGCTCTTTAAATCGAACAAAACGTGCACGGACGAGCTCCTGCAACAAGGTCAAACGCTCTGAGGCTCCAGCGTGGATCCACAGAGCCGTTTTCCCTGAGAAGAGGACATGGGGTCGACCTCCAGTCCTCTCCAAGCAGACCCATCTTTCATCTTTATGAAGCTGACTTTACCTTCTGGAGTCTCAGGACCTCAGACGGTTAAGATGGAAACAACAAGTCTGCTGGCTGACATTTAGCCGATCAAAGCCCGGTGAGACATTTAGCCAAGCAAAGGCTGAGGAGACATTTAGACAAGCAAAGCTTGAGGAGACATTTAGACAAGCAAAGGCTGAGGACAGACCATTGTGTCAACCAGCTGTGTTTGAAACAATACAGAATATAACACAGAACCTGCGTGAAGGCCGGACTGGACTCCGGAGTCCGGTTTTGGCAAAAGATAATTAGAAGACGAGTTCTGTCTCAAAGGTCAGGGTTAAGCTGATGGGGTCACGAGGGTCGGCCCTGCAGGAGAGGACACCAGCAGATCCGGTATCGGCTTCAGCAGAGGGAATGCGGACAGGCGGGGGGAGCCTTGTGCACAGGAGTTCTCCTGTAATATGTAATTCGGTTGTTGTGACGGAGGCACGGACGGCTAACGGCCAGTTCAGGTTAGTTTTTGAGTGGTTTAATGTTGCCCGGCCTGCTTTGGCCTGCAGGTGGGGTATGACATCACAGGAAGTGACAGGTGAGATATGCGTCTCGCTCTACTCACACATCCTGAGGACGTCCTCCCTTCATCAGCACGTGCTGGAGGCTCTTCTCCATCATCGCTCAGATTTCACAAACACTGAACCCCTCCAAAAACAACGCCCCAGTGAGGGCTCCTCTGCTGCCCCTGCTGCTCTCCCAGGGAAACCCTGTTGGATGAGCCTGCAGCCGACATGAACCGAACTGCTTCATGTTCTCACACACGCACACATGCACACGTATGTGCACGTGTGCAAATTCCAAGAGCAGTGACTGATTTAAACAGTCATATTAATATTAAAATAAACAAGTTATTGTGACAATATCATGATTAAAATAGAACAACAACATAATAACATATAAACCTAAAACACAAAGTCTTAATTCTGTTAAATCTGGATTTGGTTTTTGCACAAAAAGTCAAACTAAAGTCAACCATCCAGCTAAGGAGCACACTGCTATGTGTGCGTCACAGTGACGCCCAGCCGGACAACAACAACAACAAGGTGGAGCACGCACACACACACACAGGCGCGATGCCGTGTGTCCATAGCACCCGTCAGTCCGCAGGGAGTGCTAATCAGATTAGCGGGGTTAGAGGGTCTGGAAAGGTGGAGGAGGGGTCTTTGTGTGTTTGTGTGTGCATGTGTGTGCGAGAGAGAATAACAACAGAGCAGATGTATCCGTCCAGCGGGACTCAGACCGTCTGTCTCGCTGCGTCGAGACCTCGGAGACTCGGACCAGTTGAACCAGCTGGACCACTGGGTGACCTTCTGTTCCTTCCGTCTCCTCCCCGTCGGTGGTGGACAGTTCACATAATGTCTTTTGTGGGGGAAGACACCTCAAACAGGGTCAGTCGGAGACCTTTATTCACATTGTAAAATACCAACTCCTCCGTACGGTGTCCTCACTTTATGGGGCAACGTGAACACATCAGTTATATTCTGTATTTCACAGCGTCTCCTCGTTTCCTTTGGACGGCTTCTGGAATAAAAGCCCCCCAAAAAAAAGCCAAACCGGCGGCGAGCCGCTGACCCACGATGCTCCACCCGAGTCGCTTCTGCTCACCGCAGAGAAGGCGGTGCAGACCGTCGTCCCGCCCCCTCACTCTGGTTAAATGCCCCCTGATGATCCTTGAATGCCACAGGAGACAGACGAGGCCGAGGGGCCGAAGAACCTCAGAGGGCTGCTCACTCATGCAGCATCCAACTCTAAACGTTCAAAGTTGTATGCGTCTGTATTTATTTCAACCCAAACAACCATCTTTTCAATGTTCAACTAAACACAATTTTCTATTTACAGCGACATTTATTTTGAAAGGACAAAAAATCTGTACATTTATTAAGATGTGAGGATACGTAGAGATATTCTCGTCTCAGCAGAAGGTGGCTGATGGCGGTGTCGCCCCTGGTAGGTCCAGGCTCCGTGTTAGGACCTACACCCTTTAAGGGATCACTACACCCACTCACCCTTTCCACACAGAAACCTCTGGAAAAAAGGAAAAAGGAAACAGGAGGTCTTTATTTTTGGCAGATGACGTGGAAGTCTGGCTTCTTAAAGGGGGGTGGAGGAGGAGGAGGTGGAGTTGCCTCTTGGTCCTCCGGGTCGATGCTCTCCCGGGCTTCATGTTTTTGACCACCATGTCTCTCCGGGCGTGACAGAGACATTCCCTTCCAGAGACAGATGCTGTTGACGTGGACACGTAGTTATTCTCTGTGACTCCATCTGAACGGGTGGGAGGAGCTTATGGCTCAAATCTGGCCTCCTCGTTCCCTGCCCTCCGCCCGTGGACGGACGTGGTGATTTGTCTTTTGCCATGGACACCGAGAGAGAGAGAAAAAAGAAAAAGCACTTTGTTTTGTCGTCTGTCGGTTGTAGGAAAGCAGCCGTGGTCGACCAGCGGCGTTTCCAACCGCGGGAAGGACACGCCCTCCGTTTAGTCCCTCCAGACGAAGGGACTCCGCTCTGCGGAGAGCCGCAAAGGCAGAGCACACATTTAACCCCTGAAGGTCGACTCCAAGCGCGACTTTGACCTTTTGGAGGGTTTCAGTGGGCGGCACAATGGTGGCGTCCCTCTGTGTCCCCTCGCGGCAGCTGGACACTTTTTAAAGGCGTGAAGCGAAGAGGAAAACACAAACTTTGAGTGACACAGGAGACACAAGTAAGAAGGAAATGTCGAATGCCACGTGGTGATCGAACAGGACTATTCGGTTATTTTGTAACGTAACAAAAGCAACGGGGTGCGAACAGCGACCTCCGGGGTCCACAGATGCTTTGACCCCCGCTGGACTTTTAACCAGCGGCTCGATATAATCCAAACTGTGACACCAATGGACTACTTTTAAAAGCTAACACTCAGGCAGTAAAGTACACTGTGTGTATATATATACAAAGATAAATACATATATACTTATACGTTAGGGCCCATGTGGGTCATGCGTCATGCCTTTGGAGAAGAAAACATCATGTGGACATTCCTCCTCATCAGCCATGTTATTCTTGGCGCTGGGAGCACATTCTCACACCTGGACCGGCTGCTCACCGCCGGGCTGTCGCACTGCAACACTCGGCTTCTTCAGGGCCCTTCAAATTAAAACACACGCACTTAAACCAGAGCAGGCTTCCAGGTGCACCAGCTGCATCCAGATGCATTGGGACAGGATGCGACCAGGAGTCAGCTCCGCCTTCAAAATAAAAGAGACCAACAAACGAGAAGAGTGTGGAAATGAATTAAAAGTAATAAATCAAATTAGGGACAAAGGTCAATAATAATAATAATTTTATTTATATGGCACCTTTCAAAACAAACTGCTTAATAATGCGCACATAAGTTATACAAAATACAAGCAGTTTATAATAAATACAAAATCCATCAAATAGATTAATAGGCCAGCTAGTAAAAGTAAATCTTTAGAAGAGATTTATAGGAGGACACTGAATTTTCCTCTCAATTTTCAGGGAAGGGAGTTGCACAGCTTAGGGGCCCTGACCGCAAAGGCCCCCTCACCTTTAGTGACCAATCGAGAGCTTGGGACTGTTAACAAGGCCCTGCCTGAAGATCTCAGGCAGCACTCAGGTTCACTGATGTAGGCAAGAGCGAGATTGTCCAGAGCCTTAAAACACGCAGTAAAATCTTAAAATCCTAAATTCTAAAGCTCACAGGTAGCCAGTGCAGAGCAGCAAGGACTGGTGAGATGTGGTTGCTTCTCCTTGTAAGGGTTAAAACCTGGCTACAGCATTCTGTATGATTTGTAGTCTCTGAATGTTCCGCCTGCTCATGACAGAATAAAGTGCGTTGCAATCATCCAGCCTGGAGAAGATAAGCGCGTTGATGACTCTTTCCAGGTCTGCAGGTGAGAGGAAACCTGATTTTCCTTTATTGTCTCAGTTGGGCGAAGCAGATGGTTGCGTGCTTCATGCCAAACATTTGTTGATAGCGCGCACGGCCCTGAGCACAGATCAGCAACACAGCTCGTGTTTGGGAAGGCAGGTGTAATAATAACAATCTTGCATTTGGAGTCGTTTAACTCCAGAAAATTCTTGGGCATCCTAACGTTGGCAAGCCAGGACACGATGCAGGAAGTGGAAGAGGTACCAGGCTTAATAGGGATGTGAAGTTGTGCATTATGTTGTCGAACGATGTGGCCTAGGGAATGCATGTATATGGTGAATAGAAGGGGACCCAATATAGACCCCTGAGGGACACCACAGAACAAAGACTCAAATGAGGAGGAGGCCTCTCCAAACCTTACAGAAAATGACCTGACCTGTGTTACAGAAAATGACCTGATTGGAGACAATGTTTTCTAAAACCGTTGGCAGCTTGGTCTAAAATGACATCAAACCGAGGAATGTAAAGTGGGTTTCTTTAAGACGAGGCAAACGGTGTGTTAAGTCAGTCACACAAATATAAAACAAAAAAATAGCTTAATCTTACATTTATTCCCACAAGAAACAACCACTACAATTGTCCATTACATCATCGTCCATTATATCTCTATTGAAAATGGTTTAAATTGAATCCTCTTTAGCCACTCATAAACTAATTATGTTTAAGCCTTCCTGCATCTGCCTGTTGGTAGTTGGTCTTTCAGATCTGAGTTCTAGAAAAGCAACAATTAAATAATAAATAGTGCAAATACAAATAGATAATTATATATTTTATTTTGCAAAGCACATAACTTACATGTAAACATTAACAGTGCAGCATTCACACTGAAAATTCACTCATTGTTCAACTCATCAGCTCAAGGTTTCCTTTTATCTCGTCTTTATAAACCACTTAAACAGCCCCCACGTAATGAATGTGGTTTTATTTTGAAAAGTATGAGCGGAAGTGCGTGTGCTTCCTCCCCCGCTAAATTCCAAAGGCGGCGTGAATCGAGGTGGAGCAGAGCAGTTCAGACACACACACACACACACACGGGTCTCACCTCCTCTCCATCATGGCTCCTCCGCCGGATACCACGTTGGATGTAAACGCGCTCGTGTGACGGGAATAAACGGGTCCACGCGCCGTTAAATGGAAACCATGTCGCCGCAGCAGGGGGCCATGGGACAGAGCCGGCCCGACTCCCTGACGGGGGACAGCAAGAAGGTACGAGCGCCGCTCCTTGACGCGGCGCGCAAAGGGTGTGCGTATTTACGCACGGACCGGACCCGGCGCCCTCCTCTAGGATCGGATCGATACGTCCAGCTGAGTTTAGAGTTTAATGACCAAACAGAGACGAGTCTCCATCAAATCAGCTTTTATTTCCTCTCATTTATCCTCCAAGTATTTATCAAGAATTTCCGTAAACTGCATTTTTTTCGTCGGGCTTCGGACCGAATAATAATAACTTCATCATCAGACCAACGAGACGCGCCGCCATGACCCTCTTATAGGCTACAATCTGTATTTTAAGATTTCCTTCAGCTTTGCTTCCCTAATCATTCACATGATCTATCCGCTGTTTTAACACAGACCGTTTTATAATTTGAATCTTGCCCAGTTTTTGGCACAATGGCTCCGTCTGTCAGGGCTTCTCTTTGTGGCCCCAAACGACCCGAGACGGAAGCCGAGGGCCGCTCACACAGCCGGGGCCCCTCGCCGATCACGCTGATTACTGATTAATCAGACTGACAGGAGCCACTCATCACCCCGGGGAGACAAAGAGGAAGGTCCTCGGGTAGCGCCCCGGTTTCAGTCCCAATGAACAGCGCCCCCAACCGGCGCGTGTTTGACAGGTGTAACTGCACCTTCCAAAGGGCAGCGTGAGACATGACGTCACAGAGGTCAGAGAGGTCCCGCGGGGGGACGGGTGCTGGATCAAACGTTTTATGCAGGACTGAAACAGAAGGATTTACACATTTGTGTTCACATATTTAGCCTTGATTTTCAATATTTGTGCAGATGCTTTATTATTTTCTTTACTGCTTGCAAATTTGGCGGGTAATTTAAAAAATAATTGATACAATGTATGATATTAATGTACTTTTTAATAGACCTTTACACATGAGTGGTACATTTAACATGCACTGTATTTTCTGTGTTTTGATTTAAGAGGTTTTAAGGCAAAATGCTCAAAAAGAAGCTGGTAAGTCAAGTTTGAAATGAACATAAGAAACAACGGAGCGAATTAAAACCTTTTTTATTTTTTATTTTTTTGTTGCCTTTTTGCTGTAGCTCCGCGCCTGTAGCACTCCGCCTGCTACTTGGACTGTTCAGATGGTGAGATGTGAGGAACCCAAGCTTCTTTTCGAACAGGAGGAGTTTGTGTCAGAGCGTTTCCCTCGACGTGCACGGACGGCTTAATCTGCACAGACGGTATCAGAGGTGTCATCCCGCTGCTGTCAATCACCTCACACCTGCAGGAGGACCCAGCACGTTGAAGCACCTTGTTCTCCGTAATTTAGGGAGCCGTTAAAGAGCCCAGAGGGGGGGGGGGGGGGGCGCTCGCCTCCGTGTCTATGGAAGTAGATGCGTCTTGTCGTTGAGCTGTGTGACTTCCATGAGTCAAATTCCTCCTTCTGCTCGCCTAGAGGACAGGAATGTGCTCAGCGACTCTCAGTGAGTGTTTGGGGCTCACGTGCTTTCCATAGTTGGGCTTCAATTGGAAAAGCTTCTTCCACTGAGGGAGCACGCCCGGTGTTTTTTTTCTGTCGGCCATCTCTGCGCATACAGTCAACTCTCTCTTTTTCACAATCTGTCATTTCTCTTTTTCTTTCACCCAACATGCACACACACACACACACACACACACACACACACACACACACACACACACACACACACACACACACAGTGTTAGTGGAGTTTACTTGATGTTCCTGAATTCTGCTGACGATGTGCTCTTCTTACCAATGAATTACATCACATCACCTGTACTGACCCCCCCCCCCTCCCCCTCCCTGTGTGTAGAAGATGAAGACTTTGGCCCAGAGGCGACAGTCCGCTCCCTCGCTGGTCATCAGCAAGGCCCTCACCCGATCGAGAAGCACGTCCAGGTACGAGCGCGCACGCACACGCACACGCACGTTCACACAATGACATCATGTTGGCCTGCAGTTCCTCAGAGGAGATCTGGATGTTCTCCAGAAGTCAACGTGACCCTCGTACCTCAAACATGAGATAAGCAGTGAGGGGACACAGGTGGACGTTGGCTGCTGGTTTCTAACTATTGAGCCTATTGTGTGTGTGTGTGTGTGTGTGTGTGTGTGTGTGTGTGTGTGCTGGAGAAAGTAAGATAGATAACTCAGGTATTCAGTTAGTAGTCAGAGATGAAGAGTGAGACAGACGAGCTACTGAGTAGAAGTCAAAAGAAGCAGGGAAAGGTCAAAGGTCACGTGGTTAGTGGTTATTGTGAAGGTCTCTCAGCAGTTTATTTACCTACATTTCTTGCTCTGATTTCCTTCTCCTTGCTGCGGTAACTGTACTACTAAACCACTGTGTACTACTACTAACTAGACTAAGAGCAACGTGTACTATTAGAAGCCCTCTGCGTGCTCTTTGATGGCTGCGTCAGCTGTGCCAACGTGCTTTCTCATCACCTTCCTGCTGTTGGTCCAAGAGAGTAAATAAAAGAGAGCGTGGCCTTTCCATGTTTTACCACCGTTTGTTTACTGAACAACATGGATGATTTATAACTGCAGTAAAACCAGGAACACTAAATATTCATATAAGTGATATTCATATGAATCCTGACGGAAATGTTTTCCAAACCATGATAGTTTGATGTTTTATTTTGGATGCTCCTCTTCTCTTTTTCCTCCTCTTTGTGATTAGTTCACTTTATTCTTAAAGCTCGATCACTGATTTTATTTGATCGTTTCACAAACACAACTTCTTTAAGCTCTAATGTGACGACCTTCTTGCTCTAGTTGTGTAGAATAACAAAAAAGAAACATTTAATTTCCTTCTGTCCCGACACACACAAACACACACAGATGGTCAGTCATCTCCACGTCGCCACCTTTGATTACGCCTGCTGCCATGTTGTTTACTTGCACCCAGTAAACAGGAAGTGACCATATTAGGACTGAGGCAAGATGAAGACAGACTTTACAGGAGCGTGTGTGTGTGTGTGTGTGTGTGTGTGTGTGATCTGCACGGCGGCGTTTGATGGAATGTGGCGTGAATCTAAAGTATCACCTCAAAGCTACAATCAGCATTTAGAGGCTTTATCTTCTGGAACTATGGGTCAACATTAAAAGCAGTGTTTTCATAGCGAGAGACACGTAGTCTTCATGGTTATAACACACAGTAGAGTCATCAACACTTTTTACATCTGTCTGTCTGCAGGTTTTCATTGTCTTTTAAACCCTGTGTATTGAGATTATTGTACTTGCCTTTCCGGAAAGCCGACCAATTTTAAAATAAGAGTAAGGATACATTTTTTACATAAATGTACATGAAATAAATAAAAATGAGGTACGGATAAGGCAGAAATGAGGTGACGAGGAAAAGTGCAAAACTGAGCAGGTTAAAGTTAAATGAAATGTGTGCAATATAAATATGAACAGTAACAGTAAGTTAAAGCTGCTCAGTTTGATCTGATTCAAAAGCTTCGCTTTAGTGTCTTTTTCTCATACGAGGTGCAGGATGGGGGAGGTGTTTGAGAGGTGGAGGTGAGGTGTTTGAGAGGTGGAGTAGTGGAGCAGTGGTAGATGAGAGGTGGAGGAGAGGTGTTTGAGAGGTGGAGTAGTGGAGCAGTGGTAGATGAGAGGTGGAGGAGAGGTGTTTGATAGGTGGAGCAGTGGAGCAATGGTGGAGGAGAGGTGTTTGATAGGTGGAGCAGTGGAGCAGTGGAGCAGTGGTGGATGAGAGGTGGAGGAGAGGTGTTTGATGGGTGGAGGAACCCAACCGAGCTTTGAGCAGTGGAGGAGAAATATGGAAGCTTTTTACAGACGTCATTTGAGCTCCACAGAAGTGAATAAATAAATCCAGTGCACGAGTTGTGTAAATGTTTTCAGTGTGGGGGGTGAATGGGAGGGAGGGAGGGGGGGGGGGGTGGGGGGGGAGAGGGGTGAATGGGAGGGAGGGGGGGGGGGGGGGCATTTCACAGTTTTACCACACGGAAAGTATTCTCCATCCTCCAGGAACACTAGCTGACTGTTTTGAAACTGTTGGTTCTGCGATGGACATCCTGTCCCCCATGTAATCAAGACCGCCACGACGACGGTCGTCGTGGCGCAGGGGTTAGAAAGGTGTCTGGGAAGCACGAGGTTGGTGGTTCGAGTCCAGGCTGCCTCATGTTCCATGTTGAAGTGTCCCTGAGCAAGACACCTAACCCCTAATTGCTCCCCGGGCAAAATGTGAAGAAAGCCATGGGTTTAAAGTGTAATGTAAGTCGCTTTGGATAAAAGCGTCTGCTAATGACATGTAATGTAATGTAAAGCTTTACAGTGACCCAGGACGTTCCCATCAGCCTTATTGGCTCCATTCCCGTCATACCTCATTTGAGTCCTCTCAGCTGGACGACACACAAACACTTAATTAATCACGTAACCACCACTTACGCAACACAAGGACCTGGACCCAGCAGGCGGGTTAGCGTGTGTATGTATGTGCCGTGTGTGTGTGCGTGTGGTATGTGTGTGCGGGGGGGGGGGGGTTTGAGGGCTTTTATCTGCAGGGTAAACAGGAAAACAGCCCTTTATACTGTTTCCTCTTCCTCCCGAACTTCTCTGAGTTAGATGGAGATTCTACTGAAACCGGGTGGAGCGACCTCCGTCTTCTATCGCTGCAGTTTTATTTAAGGGATTTTTTTCCCCGTTCTGATGCAGTAATGAAGGTAATGACGCGCGTTAGATTCATCTCTTAGATTGGCCCCGGCCTCTTATTTAGGTCTTTTCCTGTCCGGCCTACGTGGAGGCTCATAGTAACTTTCTATCTCCTTGATTAGGCCACAACCAGCTCAACTGCTCTTCTTACCCTTCACAATAAAAGCCTGACGCTCATCTTCTCGTACGCTGCTCTCCGGCTGACTTTCAGTCTGTTCTTTTTCTTGTGGGCTGATTGTGTCTCTATTTTGTCTGTGCCCCCCCCAGGGAAAGCTGCCTCTCTCCAGTCCAGCCGGAGTCCTGTCCCCTGGTGCAGGCCTTCCTGGCCGAGTGTCCCCGCCGCCTCTTCCTGGGTCACGCCCAGACGCAGCTGAAGACGGGCCTGCAGACGCAGGACAGACACCTCTTCCTCTTCAGCGACGCGCTGCTGGTCGCCAAGGCAAAGTGAGTGTGTGCGTCCGTGTGTGCGTCTGCGAAACGGGGAACAACAGAAGTCAGCGCCCTGTTGTTTCGCAGCTATCTGCCCTGAAGTCTCCTCTGATCTCCCCCCCCCCCCTCCTCGCTCCACGGCATATAATTATTTCCTGGCCCAATTACATCCATATGAAGCCCGGCTCAGATCAAAGCCGGTCCGGCCTCCCTCAGGGCCTTCGGTACGCGGCTCCCCGCCCACTAACGGCCACGCACGCGCACACACACACACACACGCACACGCACACGCACACACTGAATCACACGCGCCTTCTCAAAATAGAACCTTAAAGAGCACATTTGTGTTGTCGGAGTAAGGAAAGCCGAGGCGCTGCTCTTGTGCCGTGCACGCAGCAGGACCCCGGTGGTCCGTCCTACAGGAGCGCCGGGCCAGCGGGGGGTACGGGGGGGGGCGGCCCAGAGAGCGAGGCTATTATCGGCCATCTCATTGTGGTTGAACACTGGCCGAGTCTGAGGAATTTGTGTTGGCGTGTGTGTGTGTGTGTGTGTGTGTATTAATGGATGTGAATGTGCATCTGTGTGCGAGCGCCACATGTGTTTGACTTTTCCTTCCACATAATCACAGACGAATACACTCGGCGCCGTAAAACTAAAATAGCTGAATCTTTACAACGGGGGGTAGCGGTTGGCAGGGAAAGGAGCTGCAGAGGAGCTCCGCTAGTGTAAATATATGCAGCCATCGGATATAATGTCACTTATCAGCTCATTCATGTCTCCAGCACCCGACTTTTACTCCAGTGAGAACAGTGCACGTGTAATGAGGAGAGCTAGCATTAGCTGTTAGCAGCTGGAATAAGACAAAGATGCTCGCGGGAAGTTGTGAATCAGGACTCTTTGTTTAAAGATTAGTCACCCAGGACATAAAATGCCGATTCACGTCATTTACAGAGCGAAACGACTCTGTTCTGCACGTTGTTTTTTTTGTGACTGATAACTGAATGCGGACTCGCCGTGTCCCCTGCAGGTCTCCCACCCACTTCAAGGTGAAGGCGCAGGTCCGGGTGTGCGAGATGTGGACGGCCGGCTGCTTGGACGAGGTGTGCGAGGGCACCACCAGCCCGGAGAGGAGCTTCGTCATGGGCTGGCCCACCTGCAACTGTGTGGCCACTTTCAGGTACGACACCCCCCGACCCCCCCCTCATAGGACTGCGTGGAGCCCGGTTTACAGAAACCGCTCGTCTTTTGGATCCGGAAGGAAAAGTCGACAGCGAGCACAGAGCGTTGATGTCACTCGTTTTCACCGCGTACGTCTCTTTTTACCCCCCCCCACAGCTCGGAGGAGCACAAGGAGAAGTGGTTGGCTCTCATCAAAAGGTACATGTGGAGTTTGTGGTTTGTTTTTTATGCTTTTGCTTTTGTTTCGTCATGTAAATCTGATTTGGATGGAAATTAGGAGCTCAATACTATTTCTAATGAATGCATCCTTTGCAACTAATAGAAACAAATGTGTACAGCGAAGACAAAGTCAGATTTTCCTGCGCTGTATCAGAAAAAGCTTTTATTCATGTTTCTCTTTTCTTTCTGACTGTTTTTCCTGCTTACAGTCGGATAATCGCGGGCAAAGGGAAGGACGAGCCCAAAACCATCCCTCTGAAGATATTCGCTAAGGACATTGGGAATTGTGCATATGTAAGATTCCCAGTAAATGACATCGTCCGTGTGTATGACGCCATCAGCTGGTTGGCTCCATGAAGCTTCTGTAACTCCTCCTCCAGGCCAAGACGCTCGCGGTCAGCAACGGCGACAGCACGGCCGACGTCATCCGCGTGGCGCTGCTGCAGTTTGGCATATCGGTGAGTAGAGGAGCCGGGGTGGGGGGGTCTGGGGGGGACCCACGTTTGATTCAGATGCTCAAGCCTCTGTCTCCTCGGTCCAGGGCTGCGTGAAGGACCACCGGCTGTGGGTGAGCTCCAGTAAGGACGAGCCCCCCTACCCTCTCATCGGTGAGCACGGACTCCTCCTTCATCTGGTCATTCGCCTGCCTCCTTAAGGGGGAACGCCCCCCCCTCTCTCCGGAACACTAGCTCTTAGCGTTAGCCTTGTGTCACTTTGGTTCTGAATTCAAACGTCTGGCCATCGCTCTAATAACCCAGCGTTCCTTTTGGCTCCGCGTCGCATACCGAAGCCTTGACCCCTGACCTCTAACCTCTGGACCCCCCCCCCCCCCTCCCCTCCCCTATTCAGGCCATGAGTTTCCCTTCAGCATTAAGATGAGCCACATTCGGGACGGCGGGAGCTCTGGCTGGCGGAGGACCAGGAGGAGGAGGAGGAGGAGGAGGAGGGGGGGGTCCGTGGAGGGACCCCGCCTCCCCCACTGGACTGCCCGGAGGTCCTGCTGCTGGACCAGTGCCTCCCTCCAGACACCCAGTGCCAGTTCATCCTCAAGCCCAGCAAAGTGGCCCCGGGACAGGCGCCGCTTCTAGGTGAGAGTGTGGCTCCGTCCGGGGGGACGGGCGGGACGGGGGGGGACGGGGTCCCAATCCCTTCTTTTAATGAGTTCACATGAGGGGCCCAGAGGTAATTAAAGGACAGCTGAACGTTGATGAGAAGTCAGAACTTTGAACCGTTGAAGGTCCAAAGCCGCAGGAAAGAAAAACCTCAGTGAAGAACATTCCGTCTTTCCACCAACGAAGTGAATGTGACTCCGTGTGGAACCACGAGAGGAAATGTGAGGATGCAGAAGTGTGAACAGAGGGCAGAACGCACTTCCCCGTCGCGAGGGAACGACACAAACAGCAGGCTGACGGCGAGGAGGACGAGTGTGGAAAGCGATGACTCGGCTATCGAGGGAGACTGAAGGAAAGAGAAACAAGAGACTGTGGGAGACTGTAGGGAGAGAGAAGGGGGGAGGGGTGTGAGTGTGAGTGTGTGTGTGTGTGTGTGTGTGTGTGTGTGTGTCCATTCATTTATTTCCACACCTTTTCTCCGATCGATCAATCGGCTTCTCTGATCACCGGACGCCAATCAGCAATTTGAACCTTCATCACAACAACGCTTGCAAAGCAAAGATGGCGTCGGTCCTCTGGAGATCACGACCACGCTGTTACGTGGAAGGTGGCTTTAATTCGTGGAGGATCTGATCTTCTGAACCGGGTTGTCCTCCTGTCGATCGCTTCCCTCCCCCTGGTTCATGGACATTAGAGATGATAGCAGGACGATGGAGACCTTAAAGACCTCCGAGCCCGACCAGTCACTCTGCTTCTGCTTTGTTCCACAGTCTATGTCTCTATGTCTATGTCTATACCACAGTTCTATGTGAGGTATGTCGCACAGCTTGTCCCCCCCCTGCTGAAAGAATCTTTCACACCCTCGAGAGTCTTTACGAGATCAACAGCGTTCTTTATCACACTGAAACACCACCTCGTGTCTGAGGATAAAAGCCTCTTCTCCTCCTGACAGTCTCACTTTTGCTTCTTCTTTCAGTGTAAACAAGAGACTTTCAAGTCTTTCTGATAAAAATAAATCTTACGAAACCGTTGCCCCCCCCCCCCCCCCCCCACAGAGCCTGGCCAGCAGAAGTCCTTCAGGAGGAAGCGATCCCTGATCAACTGGCCCTTCTGGAAAGGCTCCAGCTGGCAGCTGGACGGCCCCCCGCTGTCCCCCAGCTCGCTGTCCCCCACCTTGCTGTCCCCCATCTTGCTGTCCCCCACCCAGGGACGGCTGTTCGGACGGCCCCTGAGCTCCCTCTGCTCCCCGGACCTGCCCAAGCCCGTCATGGTGAGGGGGGGGGGGGGGTAAAGTAAAGGAGCCCCCAGAAGGTCCAGTTTGACCTGCTGCTTCCGATCAGAGATCACCTAATCACTGCCCCTCCCCCCCGCAGGACATGCTGGTGTTCCTGTACCTGGAGGGGCCCTACACCCGGGGCGTCTTCAGGCGCTCAGCCGGGGCCAAAGCCTGCCGGGAACTCCGGGACCGCCTGGACCACAGAGACGAGGACCCGGAGATCGCACACCAGTCGGTGTTCGTCATCGCCGCCGTGCTGAAGGTACACACGCACATTATGTATATATGTATATATATATGTATATGTATATATATATGTATATATATATAGTATATGTATATGTATATAAAACATTTTCCAGCTACTTCCTCCGCGTTTTAGACTCAAATGTCTCTTTTGCGCCTCCAGGACTTCCTGCGTAACATCCCGGGCGGCCTGCTGAGCGCCGACCTGTACGAGCAGTGGATGGAGGCCATGGGGGGGGGGGAGGAGGACGAGAGGACACAAGCCGTCCAGAGGTAGGATCGCCTCACTCCATTGTGGGGGGGTCACTCACACTCAATGCCTCAACTCTGTACCCCCCCCCCCTCAGGTTGCTCCGCCTCTTGCCCCCCAACAACCTGCTCCTGCTGCGTCATGTGATCGCCGTGCTGCACCGTATCCAGGGCAACGCCCAGGACAACCAGATGAACGCCTTCAACCTGTCCGTCTGCATTGCTCCCAGCATGCTTTGGGCTCCGGCGCCGGGCACCCCCGAGATGGAAGGCGAGGACACCAAGAAGGTGAGGGGGGGGCACGATAACTGGTTCTTTAAGCCAAAGCTGCATTCTGTGCAGTGACCAGCAGGGGGCGACTCCTCTGCTCCCATAGACGTCTATGAGGAAATGACTCTACTTCTCTGTAGTGACCAGCAGGGGGCGACTCCTCTGCTCCCATAGACGTCTATGAGGAAATGACTACTTCTCTGTAGTGACCAGCAGGGGGCGACTCCTCTGCTCCCATAGACGTCTATGAGGAAATGACTCTACTTCTCTCTTGATTTATTCCCTCAGTAAACATTGTAAACATGAGTTTATGGTCTCAGTCTCTAGTTTCAGGTCTTCTTCAACATGAGCATGATGTTGTACTATGTCTTTCTGTGTACTATCCATGTACTTTCTATGTAATGGACCACCAGCCTCATATGTTTGTGCTCATGCATGACTTTATGTTTCATTCTTTCATTTACTGCTGACTCATTCAGAGAGCAACAACCGCGTCAGTAGCAGAAGGACTTTCTGAAAACAGGATTTAAGCAGTCTGTTGCAAGACACTTTTAGTGTGTGTGTCTGTGTGTGCGTGTCTGTGTGTGCGTGTGTGTGTGTGCGTGTGTGTCTGTGTGTGTGTGTTAGAGGCCTGCTCAGACAGTGTGTAAACTCTGTGGAATTAGACATTTCTGTGGAATGACAAACATCCTCCTCATGACTGTGTACGTGTCTCTGCAGTGTGTGAAACGTTTCATCAGACTGACAGATAGATGTAAAGATATACACAGATTATATATAGATTATACACAGATTATATATAGATTATACACAATAGATTATATAGATAGATTACACACATTAAACCAGTCTCAGCTTGATTTACTTGTACAGTTAAAATGTTTGTCATCTACTTACATATTAATCCTAATCTAAAATCAGCGGCTCCTCGTCCACTACGTCTCATCTGACTTCATCAGCATATGGATTTAATACTTGAATCTCCTCACAGAATCCCATCAAACTTCAGAGACCAGCTGGATTAAAAGAAACACACTCCGCTAAAACCTGAAAGGCGTCAGTGAATTTGGCTTCTCCATCATAACTGAAATTACTCCCCCCCCCCCCCTCCCCCTTTACCCCCATTTACCCCCCATGTATTCACTCAGACACAGAAAGCTTTTTGATTTGCTGCCTGTTTGGGAGTTTACAGTATTTCAGCTGCACTCGGTCTTTGTGGGGGGGCTGGTTTGCTTTTCTTCTGTGTGTGTGTGTGTGTGTGTGTGTGTGTGTGTGTGTGTGCAGGAGGTTGTTGATGTTCATTGCAAAGAACTTCCTACAGAATCCTGAGGCCAAGTGTGTGTCGCTGGGACATCCCTCTCTTCTCTCACACACACACACACACACACACACACACACACACACACACACACACACACACTCCCGTCAGCACAAATACCCACAGTCACCTAAATATCTCTTTAGCAACACACACACACACACACACACACACACACACACACACACACACACACACACACACACACACACACACACACACACACACACACACACACGCTGCCTGTTTGTGAGTGCAGACTGAGCGCAGGCAGCACTTTTCTGCAAAGAAAAAAAAGTGGGATTTCGACATTTCCCCTCGCTGTGGTCAGGGGGGGTCGGGGGGTCGGTGGGGTCGGGGGGGGGGTTGTGTGATGGCTGCCTTCCAACCTCATCTGGAGACACGTGAACGCTGCTTTTAACTCAGCGGACTCGTTCCTCTGAATGTGGAGCTCAACTCTCCGTGACCACAGCGATACTTGGAATGACGGCTAGCAGTTAGCGAGTGGAATTAGCGCTGTAGCTAATTGGTACAAATCTGACTTTATAGTAAATGTCATTTGCTAGATAATTGCCTGAGTGGCATAAAGCTCGTGGGGCATTAGCCAGCTAGCTTAGTTGAACGGGCGGTGAAGCCGCCGCGGTACAAACCCAGCGAATGACACACCTGTGTGACCGCGGCGCTTCTCTCCCCGCAGGTGTGCGAGCTGGTCCGCCTCCTCATCGAGAACTGCGGCGGCGTCCTGGGAGAAGACGTCGCGTTGCTGCTCCGCAGCTCCAACCAGAAGAGCGGCGGCAGCGACCACGGCTCAGGTGAGAGGAGAGGATGGCGAGGGGAAAGGCGTTTTCAAACGTTGGTTGTGTAGTGAATTAAAAGGACAAAACGTGGCTTCTAGGGGCTCTCGGGGCGTTGGGGGGCAGCGGAGGTGAAGGAGGTCGGAGGGAGGACGTTTTCTCCTGTAAATTAAATGTTTGGCGAAATTACAGGACGCGTGAGAGGAGACGTCTGCGCTTTAAGCACCTTACAGGAAATTCAGGATTCAGGTGTGTCACAGTAACATTCTCCCCCCCCTCCCCCCTCCCTCCCTCTCCTCACCCCGCCAGACGTGTCGTCCTTCCAGATGAACGACTCGTCCTACGACAGCCTGGAGAACGAGCTGAACGACGACCCCGAGTCCCCCTTCCAGGAGACGCCCCCCCTGCGGGACAAGGACAAGCCGGACAGCCGCAGCCGCGACTCCGTCATCACCCTGAGCGACTGCGACGCCGACCCCGACCCCGACGGCGACCTCCTGCTGCGGCTCCCCCCGCTGGCCCGACCCCGGGGGTCCAACCCGGCCGCGCGGCAGCCGCCGCCGCCGCCCGCCCGCCAGGCCGGGGGGCCGTCGCGGGGGCCCAGGAGGCTGCGGCGGAGCTCGGAGCCCGCCTTGGCCCTGGCGAGCCCCCTGGCCTCGGGCACGGCGTCCGCTCATGCCGACGGACCCCGCCCCCTGGCGAGGAAGGCGAGCTACGACGCTGCCCATGGAGGGCGAGCCAGAGGGAGGGGAGTACGAGGAGTTTCCTGGAGCAGAGGCTGAGCGGGCTGCAGCTGAAGGAGGAGGCGGAGGAGGAGGAGGACGGAGGCGAGATGGGAGGAGCCAAGGTCCAGAACGGCGGGCGGTGGAAGGTGAAGCACGGCCCTCCGCTGCGGCTGGACGCTAGCTGCTCCAGCCTGTCGTCGCCGGCGACCTCACCCACAGGCTCCTCCCTCAGCTCCTTAGACTCCGCCTTCTCACAGTACTCCACCGACTACGCTGCCAACGGGGCGCTCTCATTGGCCGAGCCTGCTTCTCTCTCCCCTCTCTTCCTCGGGCGGCCCCATGTGTCCCCCCGGGACTCCCCCCCCCAGAGGGAAGCCCCGCCTCATTGGCCTCCGCCCCCTCAAGTGCAGCGGACATGCCAACCCCCCTCGCATCCACCCAGCCTCCACCCGAACACTTGGATTCAGAAGGACCGCCGCCTGTCCCTCAGGCAGTGCGACGAGGACTTGCCCGAGTCAAACGGGAGAACGCACGTGGGCGGTCCCGGCCCCCAGGACGCGGCGGCGGTGGCGGCGGCGAGCCGACGGAGATCCAGCAGCCCGCCGTCCTACCAGCAGGCGCTGCTGCAGCTGCACGGCCGCTCTCCTTTCTACCGGGGCGGCGAGAAGCCCCTCACCATCCGAGAGCTGCAGCAGGCCGCCACCCACGGACCCCCGAGCCCGGCTTCCCACACAGGAAGTGGGGTTAGACGCGAGTGCGCGCGGCCCCCCCAGGGGGTTTTCTTCGGACAGAACGCCACCGCCCTGGTGCTGCAGAGGCAGAGGTCTCCCTCTATGACTCCGCCCGCGGAGGGACACAACTGGAGGCGGACCCTCCCCCGGCGAGCCTCCGAACCCTCCGAGGTCACCGCGACCTCCGACCTCTCCCGCAGCCTCACCCTGGGCAGGGCTCGCCCCGCCAGAGGAGGTCCGCGCCCCCGAGGGTCCGCGGGGGAACCGGACCGCGGCGAGGCGAGCCTCTGCCTGTCTCCCGCCGCCACCCGGGCCGTGCGGGACTACTTTTCCTCCCAGGGACGCCGACTCCTGCCTGCAGAGGAGTCAGGAGGTGGCGCTCGCCATCGTGCAGGGAAGAGGGAGTGGCAGAGCCGGCACTGCAGCGACCCGAGAGTCGACGACTTTGAGCAGCTGTTCTTTCTCGGAGGAAATCATAGTGTGAACTTGTGGGGTGAGAAGACCCCCCCCCCCCCCCCCATAAGATGAACTTCCTGCTTCCGTGTATTGTGAAATATTGTGACCGATGTGTGTCAAACATTGAGATGGATTCGTAGTATCGTTGAGTCGTGATGTCTGACCCTGTGAAGAAGATGTGAAGAAACAGCTTAATTGGACATTTGGAGCCTTGAACTAACATTAAAGTCTCTTGTGCCAAAATCTGGTTCCTCTGAGAAATACTTTTCTCTTGCAAAATGAAGGAAGAAATGAAAGCAAAAGGACAAAGACGCATTTTACTTTATGCTCCTCAAAGCTTTTTAAAATGAGAGGTTACGTATTGTAGGCCAGCGGAGAACATGGCCAGGACACGTTGTGGAAGTCGCCTCATCACAACTAAACATATGATCCAAAACGTGACACGAAATACTGCTTTTACTTTGCTTAATGTGCAGAAAGAAGCTCATGTCACACATTTTAACGCTAAGCATCGATGACAATGTGGTCATGTTGCTACTAAGAACACCTTTATCTCCTGTGATGTCATGACTCAGACAAAGACATTATATATATATATATATATATATATATATATATATATATATAATGCCCTAACCCGCAGAGTGAAACATTTTCAGCTTCTCTGAATCTGTGAATCAATCGGGATGCTATTTATTCACAGGAGCCCAGTTCAAGGACACACTGCACGCTGTGTTGTCCTCGGGGCGGGTGGGGGGGGCTGGGGGGACTGGGGGGGGGGGGATCGATGTGTGTGCATAAAAAAAAGTCACAACGTGTCCTGAGCAGGAATGTGGGAAAACATGTGCCATGGAGGGAGAAATCTCCTTAAATTCTCACTAGCACAGCACTTCATTATCCTCAACAAGAAACCCTTTTACACACACACACACACACACACAGTGTCCTTGTGTGTTTGTGTGTGTGTGTGTTGACTTTCTCTTAACTCTTTTGTCCATCATTGTATGATATTTCTGTGCTGATTTTCGTGGTGACTCTGAATAATAATTGAACCTTTTTTCATGGTAGTTAATTTGCTGAGGTGTGTAAATACACACCTGTAGATACACACATGTAAATACACACTTGTAGATAATATGTTCAGCACAATAGTTCCCTGGGACCTCATCACACGGTTCCATTCTAAATGTCCTCATATCGTATTAATATGTATTATTATACTTGTTGTCTCCATTACAGTCAATTGTGTGTGTGTATAGTTCTGCATATTTATGATACAGAAATATATAAGTATATAAATATATCACCTTGTTGTGTTGTGTGAAAAAATCCAAAGTGTATTTTTCTACATGCCAATTCTGCTGCTGCTGCCGCTATAGAAAGTATATTTGCTGCCAGGCGACCGTTTGTTTACTGTCAGTTTGATGCTCACGAGATAAACGTCATTCATTTTAATAAATGTTGCTCTTGGGAACAACTTTGCAGATCAAACTAAGTTGTATTTATTGTTTGTGTGGAATAATTTCCCCGTGACACAATTAATAATAAACTTAATGCAGAGACAATTCAAAGAAGACAAGCTGATGTCCCCTTGCATGTCTTTATTGTCCCCTTGCATCTCTTTAGTCCTCTTGCATGTCTTTATTGTCCCCTTGCATGTCTTTATTGTCCCCTTGCATCTCTTTAGTCCCCTTGCATGTCTTTATTGTCCCCTTGCATCTCTTTAGTCCTCTTTTGATTCCTGCCTGCAGCTCCCTTTGAACAATGAATTACTCCTCAACCTCCCTACAGCACACACACACACACACATGCACACACACACACACACACACATACACACACATGCACGCACGCACACACATACACGCATGCACACACACGCATGCACGCACGCACACACACACACAAGATGCAACAGTACACACTTTCCCAAAGTGAAAAGTAACATTGAAGTTGCACTACAGGACTCGTGTGTATTACACACAGTTATTTTATCCACAGGTGCACACGCACACGTTCACGCTTCAGTCACTGTGTGCTTTTGTACTTGTGTCCCTTTCATGTGCGTGTTGCTGAGGAAGAGGAGGAGGAGGAGGAGGAGGGGGGGGGTCACCAGTCTGACCTTCGCTGGCATTAAACTAAACGGATTAAGTCTAACCTTCATCTCGCCCTTTGTCCTCCTCACCAACGCTCTCATCCACGTTTAAAGAAGCGCTTTGAAGAAGCTTTCTGCTTCCTCTAACCGTGGAACCGCTCGAGGTCTGTGGGGGACGTCTGGAGGTCTGTGGGGGACGTCTGGAGGTCTGTGGGGGACCCCTGGAGGTCTGTGGGGGGACGTCTGGAGGTCTGTGGGGGACCCCTGGAGGTCTGTGGGGGGACGTCTGGAGGTCTGTGGGGGACCCCTTCACATGGGCCAGGGTTCTCTGACATGGATGGAGAACTTTGTGTACTTTGATGGCTTTGATACGATATCTTGAATATACACATTGAGTTAACAGCAAAGTGGGCCGGTGACCTTTGAGGGAAACCCCTGCTGCCCCCTGCACGGGAGACCTCAGAAGCACATCCACCCCCCCTCCAGGTCCTCTGGTTTTGGGGTGTGGGGGGTCACAGACGACATCTTTCACAGCATCAACGTCTGCCGGGGAATAAACTGTTTGTGAAGATCTGTGTGCAAGAATGTTCACGTTTGTTCATCTGTAAGCAACATCTGGAGTAGGGGGGGGGGGCAACAGCATGAGCTCAGAGGACAAGCTTGGCAGCCACGTGAAGCCACACTGTGTGCGTTTTGTGGGTTTCCCCTCTTATTACCTGCTCACGGGTGGCCATTATATCCGTGACCTCTGACCCCCCCCCCCCCTTACATAAGCTCCCTCGTTAACTACGCCGGGCCTTTGATTACCGGGGACATCCAGAACCTTCGATCGGGCCAGAACGTGCGTGTGCGTTTCATTGTGTGACCCGTTTGTGGCTCTCAGCTGATACAACGTGTTGTGGGTCCAGAAGCTCTTTGTGTTGACGTGAATGTTTGTTGTATCTCAGTTTTAATACACAAAACGTCCCATTTGATGGCGAGCTGTGGGTACCGGTTCACATAGAGGATCAGGACTAAAGTGAGACTGGTCCTCGGTACCATCAGACAGGTCGTGAGATAATGTGATGTAACCCACTGGATGGACCTGATGGGGGGTCACCAACATCTCCAGGTTTGTAAATCAATAACAATGAAGATGAAGATCCCTTGTTCTCTCTTAGCAGGACTGGTTCACAGCTGTCCTCAGCCAATCAACATCAGTCGAACCAATGGAGGACCAGTCTGAAGGTCTTCACCATCATGTTGGTTCCATGTTGTTTTGGGGACACATCAACAAAGGGAAACATTTCCATGCGCTCAATAAATCCACCAGGGGGATTTAATTCAGAAATTCCCTCCAATCTGATTATTATAATCATCATAAGTGGCTTTAAGAGGCTTCGGCCCCGTTTGATTCCTTCATCTGACTGAACAATAGCGGGAGGACTGATATGCAGGCTTCTGATTAACGACCGCCGCGCTGACCCACTTCCTGCCTTCCCATTGGCTCACAGCCCGGCGGTCGCCCGGGGAGACGGAGTTGGCCAGCTGTCACTCACCATGTGTTTGATGCAGCTCAGATAGTGAGCATGTTTGTGCCTGTGTGTGTGTCCCTTCCCTCTATCGGCGCAGACGGGATGTACAGAACCTACGAAGGGCGGTTTACATGTTGGTTTATCCTATAAGTCTGGACACCACATACTGTTTCCCACTTTATTTCAGTATTCAGTATTTTATTTAAACGTGATTTCTGTCACTATTTCAAATCACCACATGCATAATAACAATGATAAGAATAAAAAGCAACAATAGGATTTTAATTCTCTTTATTCTTTATCACGTCACCTCAAACGTGCCGTTAATAGTATTTTTAAAGGTTTTGTTCTACATTAAGCGTGTACTGTTGTTTTTAATCTATATCATCATTTTTATTCTTAAGTGTAATGAACATGAAACATGAAACTATGTCGCCTTCATTCGTTTGGATCCAGATGTTTGTGCAGTAAAATTCCAAACGTTGACTTCATTCCTCTGGGGAATGACAATGAAGGTCCATCAGGACTAAGACCTCACAAGACCACACAAACACACACAAACATCAACAGAGACTGACTCTGACATCCCACTTTCTTCACTGCACACGTCACTTTGTGTTCGCACTTTATTTTTTTTCCTTTTTTTCCTTGTATTCCTTTATTCTTAAACTAACACATAGCATTATATGTTCTTTTATTCCTCTTGCACTGTGTTGTCTTATCGTCCGTTGTCGTACTCTCTGCTGTTACTAAGTCAAATTCCTTGTTTGTGACACATTATGGTCATAAATGTCTCCTGAGAACGTTTCAGATCACGTGGAGATCTGCTGCCGCCGTGAGGCCGGACCGTGAACTTGTCATATGTGTAAATGTTACAGGAAAATGGCCATCGGCCTCTCCCCCCTTCAAAAGAATCTAATGCTTTAACACACGATAACCGACGGAAAGTCTCTCAGTCAGCGGAATGAAACGGCCGTTTGCAGCTTGTTGCTTTGACGCTTTAACTTCTACGTCCTGTCGTCAGTTAAACAGTTTCCTCCTCTAGTAAGACTTCTTCTTCCTAACTGTCAGATCTGTCAGCCCTGCTGCCGGTGTTAGCACCGTTAGCACCGTTAGCTCAGACGTAGCCATCATGGCAACAAATGTGCTCTGAATTATAAAAGTAGAGATAAAAAAGTAAAAATGAATCTTTGACCGTGTGCTCATAAATGTTGGCTTGATGTACGAGCGTCTTCTCACTGACATTCTGAATTATATGAGGTTTGTTTGGCAGTTATCGTGTACTTGTGTGTCTGTATTTGGTCGGAACATGCAGCAAAATGTTTGTGCATAATCTCCCCCAAAAGTATTTCTGTACATTCACAACACAGCCGTCTTACATTAATCTGCATAACATCCAACCACAGTTTCTGTTAGCATCCTGTTAGCATCATGTTAGCATCCCTTCCCTTTAAAACAACCCTGGGCAATAAGCACCACTCACGAGGAAGCTTGACTCTGGCTTTTATTGCTCACGTTCACACATCACACAGTCAAAACGCCTCGTTTGGACAGTTTCTGAGCTTCAGCAGGTTTTCTTGGTCCGTGCTTTAGTTTTGGGTTTCGTTTCCTAAAGAGTTCTTTCTGTGAGGTCTGTTTTTATTCTTTTTTTCTTTTTTTTCAACAAACATTAACAAAGACACAGTTAATCACGAGGTCGAGTTCATTGGTGGAAAAGCATTCAGCCAATTTCGTGCTCTTGCCGGAGTGAATCGTGTATTTAGAGCGGACACATTCTAGGCCGGCTTAAAGCGACGCCTTCGCACTCCGCCTGCTGACAAGGCGCAATCGGGGGACCTCGTACTCGGCCAACTTTTGGAACGAAACTCTCCATCTTTCAGCGGAAAAAACGTGAAACAGCAGCAAATGATCCGACACTTTCATATTTTGGTTTCGTATAACCACCGCTGACCTGAGCGAAGGGAGACGTTGGGAGGCAATAAAACGCCTCTCGCCTTTGTTCCCTGAAGAGGTGGCACTTTAATAATTTTGATTAACGTGAAATAAAGGTAGGAAAACAAACCCGCACAGACGAGAGCCTCACTTCTGTCTGATGGATCTAGGCCATCTTTGTTAAAAGAGCAAGGAAATTACTAAAAGGTATTCGTGCCGACTAAAACCCCCCAAGGAAACCAGCAAAGGTGCCTGAAGGAGGAGTGGGGGGCACATGACAAGGGGCCAAACGGCGTGACGGACGATCAGATGTGTCAGCGAGAGGCTGAACACTGTTGAGTAACGGGGGGAAAAACCAGAGACACCGTTAGCGCAGTTGGCAAAGCGGGCGTCCTCTTCCAGAGCAAAGCTGACTCCAGTCTGCTCCTGCGGGTCATCATACAAAAACAAAAGGTTCACCACAACAGAAAAATAGCCCACATGCGGCAAATAATCATCCACAGAAACGTTAACGCAACAAGCGTAGAGTTGAAGCAGCAGACGGACGGTGGCACACGGTGCAGAGAGGCACAGGAGGCACCCAGGACTTGTTCCTCGGAGCTTCTCCACCGCTTTGAGCTTCACGCTCCTCTAAACGTCGGGTTTGACTCCAGCAGCTGTAGAGCCTCCCAACAGTGTCTCTTTACAAAACGAGACTACGTCACCTTTTTCATTTTAACACCTCCAGCAGCATCATGTCTGCTCTTTCCCTCGGTGAGGGTTTTTTTTTTTTGGGCTACACAGAAGCTTTCAGTTCACTGACAATATAAAATTACTGTTTCCAAAATGTCTCTTTCCCGAAGTCTAAAAATATATAAATATAAGTACCAAAAGGTGACAATGTACTCAAAATATTCAGCTGGAAATATTTTCTCTTAAATATAAAAAAAACAAACATTGATCTTGCTTAAAAAGTTCATAGGATACAATTTGCATCAACAGGTGTGAGCAACCAGGCAGGTGGAGATGAAAGTAAGAATAAGAAAGAGGTGACAGACAAATGCTGATACACAATTCATTACAATAATCTGTTGTGATTCAACTTTTCACCCTATTTTGACATTTCATGAACCGATTTAAAAGATACTGGATGGATTCAGTGACAATGAAAATCATGTTGATAATATTTAAGTCCTTGTGTTGATGTCTGAGGAACTTTTATTCAGTTATTTTTCTTAAAATCTCTTTCTCCACTGAACCGATGAGTTTGTGTGTTTCTGTCTTTACAAACTGCAGAATCTGTAAAGGCAACACGAGCTGTACCCTGTTCGACCTGCTAACAGGAGACATCCGGACAAACACATATTCACAGATGTAGTAAATTAACACGCAGTCTACAGCCGAACACGCCCACGATTTAGAATTCTAAACCCCTTTAAACACGGAGAGAGATTCTCTGGGTTTTCAAGTGGAGTTTTTGGATCTTCCTCTGGTTCCGCTGAGTTTCATTTCCTACGTCGGGGAACTCCACAAATTCTCAGCGGGGCGACTGATCATCCCCCTGTAGAAGGAGACCATCGACCCGTTTGTTGACTAATTCAAGCCTATAGATTTGAGGACTTTAACGTTTGAATCTATCTTCCTTTTCCAGTAAACATTTTACTCAGATGGAAAGAAGGGATTTGAGCTACACGTATACCCTGATATGATTGCCAAAAAAAAACAGAAAGCCGAGAATGAAATGCAGCAAGAACAAAAAAAGTGCCAAAAACAGAATAATTTAAAAAATATGTAAATAACTTAAAATATAACAAATAAATTAATTTAAAATGAACAACACTGTCACCTTTGAAACACACTAAAAGCCTTCTGAAGCAGAACTGGCGTCTTGATTCAAAGCTCGTTCAAACATGCACATTAATCTCCCACCTCTCCTGATCTTAAGTGCTGTAATAGCAGGCAAATTCATAGAGAAATTATGGCAATTTGTGGATTTCCCTTTACAAAGATTCCATTGAAATCAATGAGGCAACTTCCCTGCAATAAAATTAAGCAGCGCATAACAGCTGTATATATCGTGCTTTTGGTTTGTCCAACCTGACTTCATGGATCACGGCGACTGCAAGTATTAAACCTGCGGCGCTGTTACGATGAAGCTGCAGCTTCACAATTCTGGCCTTCAAGAACCGAGCTGTGATTTCTCAATCAGGATCCCAGCCGCCAGCTCCTGTGCATCCACCACATGGGGGTTCCTGATCATCACCATCCTCACCAAATCAGGAGGGAAGATACGGCACAAGTTAACAAACACCCTCTCTCTAAGGTCCTGGTATCGACCCAAGGCGGGGGGCTCGTGGTGCTGGGCCGCCGGGGTCAGATGGCCTTTGTGGGTCGTGATGGGGAGAAGGGACAGCTGGGGAAGCAGTGGATGACTCAATGCCGAGAGGCCACGAGGGGGTGAATGGGTTTGCCGGCCCCAAGGAGAGTGCCAGGCCTTCTCGAGGACCTCCGGGAGGCTCTGGAAGGCGTACGGATCGTAGTGAGGCTTTGGGGACTGTTGGTAATTGGGGTCCCAGCTTGCCGGATGTTGTGGTCGTTGGTTTAGTCCTGAGTGGTTTATTTGGGAATGAAGTGGAGACCCTTTGTACACTTGGAAGCCCTGTAGCCCGCCTTCCTGCCAAAGGGAGCTCATAGAATTGTGGCCGTGCAGGGAGCTTTGAGAGTGGGAGTGAGCAACGGATGCTTGAGGCGGTCGAGGGGAGAAATCCCCCCGGAAGCCACTCAGCAATGGGTGCTGAAGGTGCGGTGGGATGTAAGCCGAGGGGGACTTGAGGGGAGGTGTAGGTACATTAGAAGGAACAGAAGCTGGAGGGTCTTCGAAGCCAAAACCAGGTTCCCCCCGCAGACGTACCGGGTAACCCCGATGAGCGCGGTGGCCCAGTCCGGGAGGAACGCGGCTCACAGGGTGGGCGTACTGCCCAGAGCAGTGATGGTGGTGGTGGTAATGATGGCACTTGGGGCCGTCGTCCAACAACGAGTCCGGGGAAAAAGAGTCTGTGCTGCCTTCGCTGCTAGAGCCCGACAGCCGAGATCCAGCTCGCAGGTCCGCCGGGAGGGAGCACTCCGGACTCTGTGGCACAACTAGGCCGAGGCTGGAGTAGGCCTTCGCCAGCGAGCCGTAGCCCGGCTCTGGAGACTCGCATCTGTGGTAGGTTTCCGCCTGGCTCGGCCCGGAGGCTCCGACACCGTTTCCCCCCACGTTCTCCCATCGGTCAAAGCCTCCGGATGAAGGGGGTCCGCCTGAAGTCGGATACCCCAGAAAGCTGCTGCTACAGCTACTGCCGCTGCTGTTGCTCCCCCTGCGTCCCTCCGCTTCGGACTGCATCCGAAGCCTGTCCTCAAGGAGGTCGGTGAAGGAGCCGTGGCGGCTGGGGGTCAGATGCTTCTTTGGGGCGCCCCGACTTCGCGCTGCCTCGGCCGTTCCTTCTTCTTGTCTCTTTGACATCAAGACGTCTTCCAGCCGACCTCTGGAGGATGCAGATGACATTTTGGCGCTGGCACGCAGCTCATCCGCCACGGCGCGCAGGGGCTGGCTGCCCCTTTCGGGGTGGTAAAACTTGCACTTGTGGCCATACGTGCACTTCTTCCCTAAAGGACGAAAAAATAGAAAGGCACTTAATAAGCAATAAACAACGATATGCTGGAATTTATAGATGTTATGGCATCGGTGCCATGGTACAGGTGTTACATCCTTTGGAATCTGGAGATAGATCGAAGCAGTCAACAACAGCAGTTACTCTTCATCTTAAGAAGGAAACATGAGTGTTTCTTACCATAAGGACAAGGCTGTTTCCTGTTTTCAGCAATAATTGGCCGCTTCCTCAGGAAGTTGTCCAGACTGGGTCCATGCCGTCCCAGGGGGTCATCTGGTGGCATGAATCTGGACGCACAGTTAATAAATTTAAACACATCTTTATGACAATAACACAGGACACGGGCATCTTTCAGAGGGTACGATTTGATCAATGACACCGGCCCTCTCATGGCTTTTGCGTTGCACCTTGGCCTCCGTCTTTGGTCCATGTCTATTTCCAAATCAGCAATGTTTGAAAAGCCGTCTGCTTACTTGTCGTTCACGAAGGAATACATCAGCAGGCGCTCGTCGATGAACTTCTTCCACTCCGGCTTCTCGTTGCCGAGGTCCCGGTAGTTGTCGTTGGAGACGATGATGCCTTCCGACTCGTAGGCCAGTTTGACGATGAAGCGGTCGTCGTAGCAAACCACGCGGCGTCCCTGAACGCGGCGCGACGGAGTGAAGACCAGGATCTTCTCCTTCTCCAGTCGCCGCAGGATCTCCTGGTCTGGAGAGAGAGTGGCGGGACACAGTTAGACGCCAAGGAGAAGACCGGAAATCCATCCCGAAGCAGAGGGTTTCATCGTTTGGGTCTTCGCTGGAGGCTTTGGCAGCCGTTACCTGTGATGAGGGCATCAGGGCGGGACTGCTCTTTCCTCCAGGCGGGAACGAAAACTGTGATGTCACGGTGACCTCGTTCCAAGAACCAATCAACAGCCAGCTGGATGCCTTGGCACGAGAACACTTCCTTGTTTCCATGACTGCCGGAGCGGAAGACATGTTGAACAATCAGTGATATCAACTCAAACAAACACGCTGTCCTCATGAAAACTAGCAAATAAAAACAAAAAAATGGGATTGTATGGAAAGGAAACTTGACAATAACCACATTTTCATTAAGAAAATAAGTTCGTTCCTCTGCGCTTCCAATGTAAACTGTTTGGATAGCTCAATTAAAACAATTACTTCGATAATATTTCCATTTACGTCCCGCCAAACAGACGGCGGCTTCAGCATTTAAATAATTTAAGTAAATCGAAATGCTTAAATTCAGGAACGTGTTTGTATCGTTTCAAAATAACGGTGTTTCTTCTCCTCTTCTTTTGTCTGGTTGTTGTGGCTTAATATCATCAGTAGAAATTGGCAAAAGAAGACTTTCTAAAACCAGGACAAAACATTGTAGATTAAATAGATTTTTCAGCCACATGCTCCCTGACGTCGAACTGCAGACGTCATAGAAAATGACAATATATTATCTTAAAAAGTTCAATTGATACGGATGTTTTTAAATTAAGATTAAAAGAATCCCACATAATCCTTTCAGTACTGTAACGTAACCCTAATGAGGCTACATGAGCTGACACAATGTACGTAGAAGAATGAAGAAGACAACAAGTCTAACCAACCTAAGGCCATCTAGAGGGTAGGAATTAAAATCTAAATCTGTGGGTTCATATCTCATATTCATGGACTACTTCATTACCCTGTAAAGAACCAAGTTGTAAGTATTTACACAGAAACAAAGGTTGAATCTTGAACTGTTTCTAAGGCATCTAAAGGAGACATGTAGAAGCTCTGCTCCATGTTACACAGATTCCGGGTCTCTTCACACAACCTGCAGGATATAAATCGAGCTTTGGACTAAAAAAAGACTTCAGATTCAGTGCAGTTGCTAACGTGGCAGCTTCTAGTTGATCTGCTACCAGCCCTTGTTCCTTTACCTCCAGCGTGCAGTCTGAAGGTACCCGGCGCAGTAGGAGAAAGCTCACCTCATGGCCACATTGCTCCCGTCCACCACCACGGGCCGCAGGTTGTCTTTCTCCTCCGGCGGCCGGCAGGAATCGAGAGAGGAGCTGGAGGAGGAGGAGAAGCAGGCCGAAGAGGACGACAGAGAGGAGGACAAAGAGGACGAGGAGGGGGACCGAGAGACGGCGGAGGGTCCCCCTTGCTCCGCCTCCGTCTTGGTCCCCAGTTTGACCAGCTCGCCCAGGACGTCGTTGATGAGTGCGTCCGGGCCCAGTTTCCTCAGCACCAGCAGCACCAGCTCCTCGGGGTAGCCCAGCTTGAGGGCAAACTCCACCTTGGCGCGGTAGTGCGCGACGGGGTCGGCGAGAGGCAGCGGCTGCTCTCCGGGAGATTGGTTCGGCGCCAGGTCCAGCCTGACCGTCTGAAGGACTGGGGAGGCCTCTTGGCGCTGTGGGTTTGGAGCTTCGGAGGTGGACCCATGGTGGGGCCGCTCGTCGTCGCTGTCGGAGAAGTTGCCGCAGCTGCTGCTGCTGCTGCAGCTGTAGTTGGGGCTGAAACCCGTGCTGCTACCCCCGACGCTGTTACCCGTGGCGCCGGCTTGGACCCCTGCATCCCCGGCACCCGTCACAGCGCCCAGCCCTGCCTGCCGCTCAACGCTTTCCACATGGAGGTAATCCAGATCCAGCTCCAGGCTAAGGATGTGGCCCGTACTATCCTCCTGATGGTCCTTCACGCCCATGAAGCTGTCTCATACATCCAGCTCCGCGCCCCCCGTGACCTCCCCGGCTCCGGACAGACCCCGTCGTTACTGCGGGTAGCTCACCGGCTGGTCCTCGGACTGAAGCTTGACAGAAACACAAGAAGGGGATACATGTCCAACAGTTCTGTGAGAATGTGAGCGAATGAAGCCAATGTTTCCCGAGTTAAAGCTGCATTCTGTGTAGTGACCAGCAGGGGGCGACTCCTCTGCTCCCATAGACGTCTATGAGGAAATGACTCTACTTCTCTGTAGTGACCAGCAGGGGGCGACTCCTCTGCTCCCATAGACGTCTATGAGGAAATGACTCTACTTCTCTGTAGTGACCAGCAGGGGGCGACTCCTCTGCTCCCATAGACGTCTATGAGGAAATGACTCTACTTCTCTGTAGTGACCAGCAGGGGGCGACTCCTCTGCTCCCATAGACGTCTATGAGGAAATGACTCTACTTCTCTGTAGTGACCAGCAGGGGGCGACTCCTCTGCTCCCATAGACGTCTATGAGGAAATGACTCTACTTCTCTGTAGTGACCAGCAGGGGGCGACTCCTCTGCTCCCATAGACGTCTATGAGGAAATGACTCTACTTCTCTGTAGTGACCAGCAGGGGGCGACTCCTCTGCTCCCATAGACGTCTATGAGGAAATGACTCTACTTCTCTGTAGTGACCAGCAGGGGGCGACTCCTCTGCTCCCATAGACGTCTATGAGGAAATGACTCTACTTCTCTGTAGTGACCAGCAGGGGGCGACTCCTCTGCTCCCATAGACGTCTATGAGGAAATGACTCTACTTCTCTCTTGATTTATTCCCTCAGTAAATTCCCTCTGTAAACATGAGTTCATGGTCTCAGTCTCTAGTTTAAGTCTTCTTCAACACAGATGATGTTCATTTAGTGAATTATGGTCCACTTAGAGCAGGGATGGGCAACTGGCGGCCCTCGCCCTCATTCGGAGTGGCCCCTGGATTAATTTCTGAAAATTGTAAGTGTGTCCTCTACAGCGCCCGATCACTTTTCAGTTGTAATATCAGAGTCCACTTCCTATGCAGACGCAGCTTCCTACGTGCTTCCACCGGGGAGACACCAAACTGTGTGTGACCTGTGTGCACACGTCAACGCATTTCAGCGCAAATCAGACCTGTTCAACGAGGGATTTTCATCCCATCTTCCGAATTTGACACACTTTGCTGCTTGTGCATTGGATGCACAAAGATTGACATTGATATCCACTCTATTGTGCGCCAACAGGCAAAGCCACAAGCTTCTCATTAAAGGAGAACCAGTCATGCTAATGGGGTAAGGTAGAGCAGGTATGCAGGGAAAATGTTAAAATGTAAAAAAAAAAAAAAAGAGTTGGATTTTTATGAATGACGGCACTTTGCACTGAAAAAAAAAATCACTGTATCTGGTTATTTATTTGTTTGCTTCAAAGCTGTTGTTGTTTAAGATGATCTGTTTTGCATTTGAGCATGAAATATATTAGGATGCTGTGATTTTAAACAGACATATACACATATTTTGGTCTTATTTATTTATTATTGTTATAAATCTGCTGTCCTATGTGGCCCCCTGGTAGAGCTGATGAAAAATTGTGGCCCCCCTCCATCATTTAAGTTGCCCATCCCTGATTTAGAGTCCAACAGGCCATAAAGCAGGGGACGCTTTAGGGCGGGGCTTCACACTGATTGACAGGTCTCTACCAGAGACGTATACGGTGTGTCTACTAAAAAGTCTGAATGGTGACGGCAGTCTACAAACCAATGAGTGACCCCCCTTACATACAGTCTGTGGTACATGTGCACGGTGGCGGACTCCATGGCGACGACCCTTGACCCCACTGGCTTATTTAGCACAGATCTTAAAATGACTTTAAAATCGCCATCTTGAGAATTTTAAACTACAACTCTGTTCTGACCCCACAAAAATCCAGATCTCAGGTCCAAGCACGGTACTGAACATATATACATATATGCATTTAAGATAGATATATGTATATGAAGATACAAGGTGTGAACCTTCAACCTTAAAAAGCAACAAATAGAAACTCACTCTGCTTCTTCTTTTCATCCCGAGCGAGCTCTGAATAAATGAAACCTACCGACACCCTCCTCAGAGAAGAAGCATGGCTTCCCAGTGGTCCCGTAATGATGCAGGCACTGACTGAAGCTCTGTGAGCTTATCTCAGTCCTCCTCCACCTCCGGTTCGACCGGAGGAGCCGGGGAGCCACGTCCAAGTGACGCCAAATCAAAGCCCAGAAGGTGCATGATTACTGGAGATTATCTCTCACGCTCCTGCAGGAACGTGCACCCGAGAACACCGACACAAGAGCAACACCAACAAACGGACCGCTTGGATTCACTCGCTTGTCATAAACAAAAGAGTCAGCTTGTTTAACTGGAAGCATTGAGTATAAATCCCTTTGTGAATGCAGTTAGCGTGATTGAGGACGTGGTTTCCTGATTTTAAATGAAGTAAATTCCCTTTCTCATTAATGGAAACACAACTAGTTAGAGAAAAGAGATGCGTGGCAGCTGAAACCCTCCGGAGGCGACAGTTCACTAATCAACGTGCCGCTCGCAGCTCGTCCGCGGGCCGTGAACGGGCAGAGGACGCGGTCCGTTAAAACACCACTACATCGATGCCTGGAGAGTTTGGATTTATGGATTCACATTCTCAGAATAAAATGCACCGACGGCCGAGTCCCTCCCGAGTGTTTCCTAACGGCGTCCACAGAGGAGACAAAGACCTCCGTGACCTCTTCAGCTCTCCATCCCTCAATCTAGTTTCACTTCTGTTTGCTGTCCCCCCCCGAACAACATCAGGCTTTTTGTCCACCGCGTTGCAGATTATGAAAAACGTGAACAATGGGCATCGAGGTCATTCTTCCAGTTGTCTCATTCTCGTCTCTTTGGGGGGGGGGGGCGTAGAGTCCTGGTGAGGATCCTTCCAGAGCCTTTAAACTCATTAAAAATCCCAACTATGTGGAAGTTGTGTTCATGAGATGGTTCTTATGAAATGTTCGGTTTGGAATAACGCGTAGTGGAACAGCTGTTTTTGGCCACTTTGGGTTTAATACGATAAACAAAGTGCGAAACAGCGGAGCGGACGTCCCAGCGACTCTCTGTCACCCCGCAGGTCACAAGTGGTACTACGGGGCGGGACGTTAGCTCGTTAGCTCGTTAGCTCCCTTCAACAGTCACGTCTTTCTAAAGCAGGAGGTGATTTCAGACTTTGTGCGGATACCTTTTAGCCACGTTAGCTGCGGCGCCGGGAGCCTCTCGGCTCTCAGGCCGAAGCGCCGGAAGGCCGAGAGGCCTCTTAGTGTGCCGACCCCGACGTCTAAGCCACACCCCCCCCCCTGAATGCCACAAGAGGCCGGGAATAATTTAGTACCCCAGCACCAAAGAGGGACAAAAAGGAAAGAGGATTTTGTTTGTGTGCATATCAAAGTGGGCGTGTGTGTGGGGGGGGGGTGTGGGGGTGTGTGGGGGGGTGTGGGGGTGTGTGTGGGGGGGTAGAAGTGTGTCTGGCCTGCCGCCCTCCAACAATGCAGCTGCCTCCCAATCTGTCCCCCTGTGACGACCATTGTTCTCACGTCCCGCACAGACGGAGGCTGGTCACACACACACACGCACACACACACACACACACACACACACACACACACACACCGGCCTCGCAGACGGAGGCTTTCAGGAGTCAGCAGAAATGTGACGGTGACGCAGCAGGTGTGAGTCACAACAAATGTAACATATGCTGCAAAAAGGTTTCCTCACAATATTACAGCTGCTGTCGTAAACGCTGCTGAAATGAAAGTAAAAACACCAGCGAGTTGTAAGACCTGATGAATGTGTGAGCTACTTTAGAAAACATCTACTGAAATGTCTGTTCTGTGACGCTGTTCGTCACACCCACTAAAGGAGGACTTTTAAATTGGAAGCTCCGGTTGTTCGGCAGCAGATCGGCGTGTGAATGTAGCAGCTGCAGTCTGGTGCACAACAAAGGAGGATAAAATGTCCGCTGGTTAACTGTTCTAATAAGATTCACCAAACTACAATACTGCAAATGACCTGTAGCTTCATGTGCTGTAGCGACAATAATGTGGGATTAATATCTGTACAATCAAAAGTTTATCCAAAAGATCTTCACCAAATAAAGACCAGGACACAACAATCATTGAATGAATGAATGAATGACTTTGTGTCTCTGAGCTGCAGGCTGAACGTTGTCTTCATGTTTTAAGGGTTTGTTCAGGATGTGTAGGTCTGTGTTGGGGGGGCAGCAGATGCTGCAGCCTCCTCCCTCAGTGACCCGCCGGCCTGCACTGTGTGGATCTCTGTATGTGTCATGATCCAGGGTAGGTGGAGCGCGCGTTGAGGAAATAGCTCCATGAGGCGACTCCACGCCCTCGGCGCCGCATGGCCGCCATTTGCTGGACCTGCGCCGGCGGAGAGCCGGTCCACCGCACCAGCAACCGGCTGTGATGGGGGACAAAGGGCTGGCACAGGGTTGGGGGTGGGCAGCCGGAGAGGGGGGGGGGGGGGGGGCAACAGATGCCTGCTGAAGCCACAGGGGACCTCGGTGAAAGCATCTTCCTCCTCCTCCTCCTCCTCCTCCTCCACCCTCCCCATACTGCAACTGGTGGTGTCCAGATTCATCCTCAGTGACACATATCACCACAGTCCGTCATGTGACATGTTGGGGGGGTCGGATCATCGCTACAAACTGTATTCTCTCCTTGGTTCTGGATGCATGCGAGTCCGCTCAAACTATTCCTCGGGCTGTCGGGGGGGGGGGCGGGTTAGGAAGGGGGGGCCCAAAGGAATTTCCCAGGAAGTCGTGGTTGAAAACCTCCACACTTTCTAGTGGTCCCAATTTCCCTGGTGGGACGATACGCTGTGTGCTGCACGTCACCAACACACGCCACCAACACACGTCACCAACACACGCCACCAACACACGTCACCAACACACGCCACCAACACACGCCACCAACACACGCCACCAACACACGCCACCAACACACGTCACCAACACACGCCACCAACACACGTCACCAACACACGCCACCAACACACGCCACCAACACACGCCACCAACACACGCCACCAACACACGTCACCAACACACGCCACCAACACACGCCACCAACACACGCCACCAACACACGCCACCAACACACGCCACCAACACACGCCACCAACACACGCCACCAACACACGTCACCAACACACGCCACCAACACACGTCACCAACACACGCCACCAACACACGCCACCAACACACGCCACCAACACACGTCACCAACACACGCCACCAACACACGCCACCAACACACGCCACCAACACACGCCACCAACACACGCCACCAACACACGTCACCAACACACGCCACCAACACACGTCACCAACACACGTCACCAACACACGCCACCAACACACGTCACCAACACACGCCACCAACACACGCCACCAACACACGCCACCAACACACGCCACCAACACACGCCACCCTACACACGCCACCAACACACGCAACCAACACACGTCACCAACACACGTCACCAACACACGCCACCAACACACGTCACCAACACACGTCACCAACACACGCCACCAACACACGCCACCAACACACGCCACCAACACACGCAACCAACACACGCCACCAACACACGTCACCAACACACGCCACCAACACACGCCACCAACACACGCCACCCTACACACGCCACCCTACACACGCCACCAACACACGCCACCAACACACGCCACCAACACACGTCACCAACACACGCCACCAACACACGTCACCAACACACGCCACCAACACACGCCACCCTACACACGCCACCCAACACACGCCACCCTACACACGCCACCAACACACGCCACCCTACACACGCCACCCTACACACGCTACCAACACACGCCACCCAACCCTACACACAGCAACGAGTCCCAGTGTGGATGAGGTTTGAAACAGGAAGTGGACGGACAGACGAACTCTGTCAGGAAGCACCGTCGCCCTTCAAACGTGACCGTTCTTCAACCTTCAGCCAATAAACGATATGCAAACTACAACGTCCAAAGAGCGCACTCATTGCGACCCCCCCTACCACCCCCCCCCCCCCCCGAAACACTTACCACACAGCTCCTAGAGAAGCAGCCAGGCAGCAGATCCCAGGGAACCCAGGAGACTTCTTCAATGCGACGCCTGAAACGCTTCCTTTGGACGGACAAACTTCATGGAGCAACTTCCAGGTATAGCCGCTGGACGGACGGCAAAGGAAAACCTCCAGTATCCAGCGTCCGGTATTCGGCGTCCGGTACCCAGGTCGGTACCAGCGTCCGGTACCAGGTCGGTACCCAGCGTCCGGTATCCAGCGTCCGGTATCTGCTCGATTCTGGAGCCGTGGAGACGGTAAAGCTGAGAACCCAAAGCCTCCTGCTTGAGTTCAGCAGGGATCCCCCTCCAGCTGCCCTTGTTTTGGTGGTGTTGAGGCTTCGGGTTTGGACCTGTGACTGACAACAGATGGAGTGTGAGGCCTCTACCATCCTCCTCCTCCTCCTCCTCCTCCTCCTCCTCCTCACAGCCAGTCGGACTCTTGGCCAATACCAGCGCAGGGATCTGAACAACGTCTCACTTTCCCGTTTCCATCGAGCGCCTCTTCTGCACCAACACCGATCACCCGCCTCTCCACCAATGGGAGGAGAGGAGAAGAAAAGCTCGGATATGTACACCAACCCGACCCCCCCCCCCAACCACACACACACACACACACACACACACGCACACACACCAGCCCGTACGCCCGGCTTGAGCCATGAATGGACGAGAAGGCGTGAGTCCACAATGGTGGGGAGGAGGACACAAAGGGGGACCCTCGACGGGCAGCTGCACACACACTCACCAGGGCCATTACACACACACACACACAGACGCACACACACACACACACACCACACACACACACACACACACAGACGCACACACACACACACACACACACACACACACACACACACAGAGTTACACTAGGAGGAAGGCAAGTGAAAGCAGGACTGAGCCCTGCAGAACACCTGGCCTGCTGGGGAAGGTTGCCGCCCTCTTTGTTTCCCGGGTGGGGGGATCGACTGGACTTAGACAATGTGAGGAATCACGTATAACGTAGTGTGTGTGTGTGTGTGTGTGTGTGTGTGTGTGTGTGTGTGTGTGTGTGTGTGTGTGTCTGACGGAAAGTTAGCAGGTGGGAAAAGAAGCTCTGATAAAGGAAAAAGCCTTGGAACTAACGAGGAGCAGAGACGTAAAAAGGCTCCATTGGTTTGTGGAGACGGCCGTGACTTGTCAAAGGCCTCAGAGCGCGTTTTACTTCCAAGCTGCCAGGAGGTCGGACGACAGAGACCGGCTGCCTGTCAGGCCGGGTCCAGTAGAGTCACATGACTCTGAGCGGCGAGGCCGTCATCCAGCTGTGTGTTAGTGATGGAGAACATCAGACAGCTTGAGTTTACTGAAGCAGGGCTGTTAATATGTTCTACAGCAAAACATCTAAATCTTAAACTGAGGCCGTTTACTTATGAACAGACTATGAGGTTCTTTAACAAGTGTCACGTACAGGAAGGAAGTCTGCTTAGAGTCTTAGTCGTGGTTTTATTTTGAAAAACTTCTTATCAACTTTTTGACATTTGCAAAGTTTACTTTTTTCCTTGTTGAATAAACGGTTTTATGGAGCAAAATATATTCATATGGATGAAACTAAGCAAAAGAACTCCTGGTTGGGTCTCTGAAACTATTGGACATAAAACGTAATTTAACTGTAAATCCTCAACAAACTCCAACATGACGCTCAACGGTTCCCCTCACGAGAAGACCGACCTCCTCCGCTCGCCTGCGTCCAGCTGTGCTTTTGTCTTGTGACGTTGAATCGATGTAAATATGTGTGTGTAGACGTTTGTGCACCAAACATACACAACCGCAATGTGCGTTTCAGCCTAAGAGCCACAACTTTCATCTCATCCTGAGCGCTTTATTATTATTATTATCATCATGATTTCAGCTCCCCAAAGTCCCGCCCCCCGACACGCCAAACCCCCCCCCCCCCCCCCCCCCCCGCGCCCTAACACACCCGGCCCTCTGTGACTCACAGTGACTCCTTAATTGGGGCTCAGCTGACAGGGTTCCCCCTCTGGGAGCAGGAGCCATGTGGACCATCTGCCTGTGGTTGTAGGACGGACAGGTGTCCCCCCCCCCCCCAGCTCGCCAAACGCCGCAGCAGTTTGTGACCTGCGTAGCTTTTTCTGCCTCAAATAAAAGAGGGAAAAAAATGGCGCCGCCCTGGAATCAGAGGTGAAGGTTAACGCACACTTTGTATGTATGTCAACGGGTTTTGTACCGTTTCCTGCGTAGACACAACGGCACCGTGTTGTGGGTCACTTTGAACTTTTCGCACGGACTGAAACCATCCAGCTGAGTCACGTGACACGTCTGAGGAAGAGGAGGTGCAGAACGCAGTGTGGAGGAGGTGTGGAGATAATTGAGGCGGGGGGGGGTGGATGAGAGGGGGTCAGTGATCCCGAGCACCAGGGATTAGTCTGGCCCCTTAACAAGGCCCAGTAGGAGGATACTGGGAGAGGAAGAAGCAGTCCAGCTGCTGTCACCCACCACATGGTGTGTGTGTGTGTGCAGAGGGGGGGGGGGACGAGGGGGGGACGGGGTCACCCAGGGCTTTGATGACACAAAGGGTTGGCCTAAGGCCCAGTGCCCTCTGGGTCACTTATGGAGGCAGCATGTGCGCGCACACACACACACACACACACACACACACACACACACACACACACTCCCCACCTGCTGTTGGCGCCGCCTCGCGTCGGCTGTAACGGAGACGGAGTGATTCAGCAGCCTCACAAAGACGGACACATTGCTGAGATTTAGCACATGACTCGGGCCAACGAACCTCGGCGGCATCTCTGGAACCTTCAGAGCGGAGCGGTTAGTGGTCGCAGGAGAGAGAGGACCGACCGGTAGAATCACAGCGACTACTTTGAGTGACTTTAGATGATCCCTCGGCTTTACATCACATCAAATACATGGACGAACGGAGCGAGACAAAGTACATCTTTCTCTATTTTTACAGGCCGGACGATTACTGTGAAGTGCCGAATACTCGATCAATCAATAACGAAAATCATCCTTTGACAGAATCAACACGGTGCGTTTGAGAGAGACGACTTCAGTATCACATCATCACATTGACCAGCAGGAACACACACAAACACACACACACACACACACACCTGCACACACTCACACGCTGTGTTCATTGGGCCCTGTGGGGACGATCTGTCACCACTTAATCAGGGCGCTGGGAATGTAGGTGTGTGCGTGCGTGTGTGCGTGCGCGTGTGTGCGTGCGCGTGTGAGTGTGCGTGCGTGCGTGTGTGTGTGTCACAGGGGCGAGTGCCGGGTCAGCGGGGGTCAGCGGGGAACAAAAGACACGGAGCAGCTCCCAGCTGCCGGGCCAAACGTCATCCCCCCCCCTCTGTTTCAATGGGAGCGTGCCGCTTCTGCTGACTCAGCACATCTACACACAGACACACACGGTCTGTGGAGGAGAGGGGGCACATGCAGAGACTAACAGAGAACGTCCCGTCGGGAAATTTCTTAATATTTTCTGACATTTTAAATAAACGCTGCAACAACAGTTGGTTCAGTGAATCAGGTACATTATTCCTGTTTGTTCTGCCGACGGAAAGATGAACGTATGACAACAGCTGCACAATCACAATACACACAATTAACCAAAAGTCATTTGTGGCATTTTTGTAATCAATTTCTTTATTTTCTTATTTGGAAAAGATAGATAAAAGATAGAACAGATATAAAATTAAACATTTACGGGTATTGGGTTCTATTTTTATTTTATTTCTATTTGACCAGAAGCAGTATTTGAGCAAAATAACAAGTGAGACAAAATATATATATATATATATATATATATATATATATATATATATATATATATACATACATATATATATATACACATACATATATATATACATACATATATATATACACATACATATATATATACACATACATATATATATATATATATATATACATACATATGTATACATATATATATACATATATACATACACATACATATGTATACATATATATACATATACACATATATATACATATGTATGTATATATATATATACATACACACATACATATGTATGTATATATATACATACATACACACATACATATGTATGTATATATATATATACATACACACATACATATGTATGTATATATATACATACATACATACATATACACATATATACATATATATACACGTACATATATATAAACATATATGTACGTATATATACATACACATATATAAACATACATATATATGTACATATATGTTTATATATATACATATATGTTTATATATATGTACGTGTATATATATGTATATATATATATATTTTAGCATCTATTTCAATAGACATCTAGCAGTTGCAGCACTTCCTCAGTAACATATTTCACAATAAAAGTTCATAATAAAACAGTAAATACAATCACACATACGATAAAAGAATAGAAATAAAGTCAACATTGAGTTGATCTGCGGCTCCTTTATTTAAAGGTCTTTAAAGGTTCTCCCATCTGTAAATTTCCTCTATCTCTAAAAATCGTACATATCAAAAGGTCCCACATCTCTTAAAGGTTCCTCTATTTTTAAAGGTCGTATATGGCGGCAAATCACTGTCAAAATTCAAGAGCGCAAATCAGGTTGATGAGCGTAAATCAAACATCGTGAACTTCCTCGCGAGGAGAATCGCTCGCTGTTGTTCTTTTTGACAGTAAGGGGGCGGAGCCAGTCACCAGGGTCTCTACATCTAATTGGTTACAAACCCCGTCTTTGGATTGGCTGGAGTGATGCATACTAGTGATGGCAAGTTCGGATCATTTTACCGACTCGGTTCTTTGAATCTCATTCAGTAAAATGAACAAATCTTTTTTCGAGTCATTCGTTCATTCGGGGGGGGGGGGGGGGGGAAAAAAAAACCCTGGTTTAAAAAAACGTATCATGATTTGAAGGGATCCTTTATTTTCACCCTAACATTTAATTATCACGGGAAAACTATTACACTGCGCTAAACTGTGAAAGTGGTAATGTAAAGGGGAAATAACAAAACATCACTGTGACTTGTGAACGAATATAATTCACGTTTATAAACTAAAAACAGCGGCCACGCCAGAAGGGAAAAAGGAACTGTTTCCTCTACTCAACCAATGGAGGTCACGTGAAAAACGTGATCTGTATTCCGCAGATGAACGAACGTTCACCTCCCGACCGAGTCTTCGGGTCAACGATTCGTTCATTTCCACGTGACCTGCATTCAACGAATCATTTCTGTTTCCTTGGCTGAGCCGATGGAAGTCCTGATGCGTGGCCACCAGAAAAGGGAACGAGTCTTTCTTTGAGAGGACTCGTTACTCTCGAGTCCTTGTAAGGATTCGTTCAAAATGAACGACACATCACTAGTGCGTTCACACAACTATAGAAGCCCCTTTTCCGCACTAAAGAAAGGGGACAGAAAGTCGACATTATGAGATAAAACGTTGTCGCGTGACGGACTTTTGATGTTTGATTTACGCACATCAACCTGATTTGCGCTCTTGAATTTTGACAGTGATTTTCCGCCATAGCCGTACGTCTCCAAATCCCCACATGCGTCTTTTAGTAATTATTATGTTCTTACCCTTTCTTATCCGTAGCTGATAAACGGCTGTATTAGAAGAAGAAACATTGAGTTGGAGCCTCTCTTTTTGCACACGCTCCATTACGCATCAGCCCGGGGAGGCCGGCGGGAGCTCGCCAGGGTTCAATGACGGCGGACGGCGGACACCGTTTTGCGGGTGTGGCCGGCATCAGGTACCTCACCCTCTTCCAGAAGCGGGAGCTCCCGGAGGCGGCGCCCGGCGCCTCCTCACGCCACCTGACGGGGGCGCTTTTAAGAATCAGGTGCTGCAGGCCGGCGGGAAGGTGCGAGTATCCTCGCGGTCCCACGTCCCCCAGCTGGACCAGAATCACACTCATTTCTCTCTGCAGCAGCGCGTGGTGGAGCCCCACCTGCACAACCATGGAGACATTTATGTCGATTATACTTTTTATTTATTGATAATATCAATCAATTCATTTTGAACACCGGAGTTTTAGCTTGTTTAGCAACTGCAGACAGACAGGAGCCTCCTTGGTTAAAGTCCCGGCTCACTGTTTGCACACAAATGTTCACTCGGGTTGTACGTGTAGCTACAAAACGACTTCAGGGAAGGGAGAGACACTCGCTGTCGGCTCCTCGCAGGAGGAATGCGGTGAGACTCCTACCTGCCAGTCGTACCCTCCTATCACGGGGGGCTGGAGAGAGACGGCGCTCTCCGACTCCGGTCCCGAACCCGGGGGGAGGATGACCATCAGCCTCCTGCTCTGCTTCATGCGTCCCTCCACCAGCTCCAGGCGGTCTGTGGAGTCGGACGGGGTGACCGAGGTTTGAAAAGAATCCCAGCAAGGGGACCCCCTCCCTTAAAAAGCCGTTTCTGTTACATCATTTCGTTTGGCCCTTTGTGAACTGTAGACTATTACAAGCTGATGCAATGAGAAGAAGTGAGGAGACGGGTTGAGGTGGGGAAGGAGATGGCAGGTGGAAGAAAAGGAAAGAAGCAGTATGAGAAGTAACAAAGCATCGGGATGAGTCAGTGAGACTGTGGGACATTTGTAACAGGACATTAGATAAGGACCTTCCCCCGGGGTGTCGTCCCTCCCGTGGATGAAGAGTCGATAGCCGCACTTTTCCTCCAGGACGGAGGGCAGAATCTGGGCGATGAACTGCGTGAGCGCGACCTCGGCGACCTTGTCCTCGCTCTGCGTCTGGTAAACCACGTAGGCGTCGAACATCCTCCCGTCTGGGGAAACACACACGCACCGTGGAAGACATTTCTTATCTCTCGGTAGATCACCGTCCTTTGGTGGACGTGAGCGCACAGCAAACACTTCCTGGGAACCTTTTCCAGCTTTTGAGAGGAAAATGACCTCATTTTATCAAAACACCGCTCCCTCTGACTCATGGTCTCGCAGTCGGCTGCAGGAGATGCAGACTGGGGAGGACTTCATTGACCATCTGAAAGGAGCTCATCCCCAGGCGTGCCCTCTAAGCAGGATAGGTTTCTCTCCTGCCTGCTTTCTTCACATCTTCTCCAACTCAGTCCTCCATCTTCTCGCCAAAGACGCCTCTGATCATTTCCTATATTTTGAGATGCAGGTCGTCCGTTTCTTTTCATTGTCCAACTGCCTTACATTGTCAGAATTAATCGATGACTAGTGAGGCGGATTGCTTGGATTGTGTGTGTTTACACACACATCTCCTCCAGCTTCTGCTTCTCCGTCATGAAACTGACTATACGTCTCCACTTTGGGCCGAATGATGTTTTACTGTTGTTGTAAAATGATTAGTTTCGTGGTTGATGGCGGACATAGAAGGCTTATTGAGGATGGAGATAAGTCACTCCTCCTCCGCCCTCCTCCTCCGCCCTCCTCCTCCGCCCTCCTCCTCCGCCCTACCCCCGATCGGGTCAGCAGAGGGCGCTGTGGTGCTGCTGTGGATCCATTGGAGAGAACGTCGCTACAGGCTCCGCTCATGCGCAGCTCAGGCTAAAACTAGCTCTGGCTTTAGCGTGACGCTAACGCGTGTCCTCTCTCCATATGAACCCACGCGGTGCTTCCTGGCCCGCGTAGCCTGTGCCGGTCCAGATCACCCGTAGGTCTGGTGCCGGTACCACAAACCTGTTCTCTGGTTCATCTGCTCTCAGACAGACGGGGTTTTTAAAAGGAGGACTAAACTCCTCCTACTTCGGATTTGTAGAACTTCCTCACCTTTGTTGCAACGGCTGAACTGGAAACAGGGTCTGAAGAAGAGAACGATGTCGATGGCGAACCACTTGACCAGCGCGGCGGCAAAGACGCAGAGGAACAACGCGCACACCCCCCCGACCACCAGCGGGATCACAGACTCTGCAAGACAAACCCCCGATGAGCCTCGATGACCTCCACGGACCAGAGGTCGCGTTCCACAGAGCTCATACCTACCTCGTCGCTTCAGGGTCAAAGTGGCGTTTACCGATTGGAACCGGCCGGCTCCTTTGCACACAAACACAACGTTGAAGTCCTCAGCGGACACTTTGTCGATGGTCAGGACGGCTTTAAAGATGGTGTTCCTTGCACGGTCCTCCGGGACTCTGAATGCGTTAAAGAGAAGACTTTCATCAGTTCAGTGCCAATTAAAACTAAGTATAGCAATTTAGGTAAAATGTGGATAAGTGAAATAAATTCAAGAAAAGGGTTAAAAATAACTACGTAAAGAAAATAAAAGAATATGTTTTATTTTTCACAGAATAAATTGTTACTCCTCTGTGAACGAGTTCTACTGCAGATTTGATGTCCAACAATGTCCTGACTCCATCCCCCACAGCGCCACCAACCTTTGAACGGCTAGTCCTGTCCCGCCTGAAGTCCCTCACCGACCCCCTCCTGGACCCCCTGCAGTTCGCCTACAGAGCCAACAGGTCTGTGGAGCGAGCTAAAAAGATGGTGGCCGACCCCTCCCACTCCGGACAAAACCTGTTTGTGCCCCTTCCATCTGGCAGGAGGCTGAGGTCCATCAGGACTACGACCTCATCAACAGAGCCGGACCCCCACTGACTAAAATATTTTTAACCATGTCTGACACATTATGGCAACACATGTTTGATCACACATTGTCTATATTAAGTCATACTCACGTTTCTATGGTCTGAATGTATCCGGGGACTTGGGACAGCAGGACGCCGTCCCGATGCCAGTTCGCTCTGCAGTCATTTTGGTCCACGTTGGACCCACAGGCAATGGAGCAGTTCAGCTTGATCCCAACGCCTGGCAGAAAGGTCACACGTTCATTTCACTAATTAACATGTCTGGACTATATTAAAAAAGCTTTTAAAAAAAAAATCTCATCACTTTTACAACCTTACATACCAGGTTCTGTACGTTTTTTAAACTCATCTTACAGTTTTTCTCAATTGCTAAAACACTGAACCCTGATGACGCACGATGCACCCGCGCTGCATCATGCTGAGCACAGGTGACAAAAGTCAAACACAATTAAAACACAGGAGTCACCAATTGAACACAACAACTCCAGATTGATCAGACTTCTAATGATGTGGGGGAACGTTCACAGTCAGAGCACTGGTTGGTGAGGCCCTACAATGGACAGAAAGCTGAGAGGAAGAGTTTGTGTGAGAGGAGGTCGAGGTGGTCAGCGAAGACACAGAGCACTGATATCTGATGAAATACTGTGATTGACCATGTTCTTGTCCATGGTGTGAGCCTGAGGGGGGCTGGACGAAGGTACAACCAAACATCCGTAGATTCACTGTGTCCACCATAATCTGAAGACTCAGAGAACAGGTAATTACCTTCTTTTGACATTATAGCACAGTATGTAAATGTTGACAGCAATTACTGTATGACATAATATATACTGTACCACAGTAAGTAAACGTATGTTTCAGTACATCACTGTAGTATTGTAATGAAGGGTTGGTCTAACTGTTTGTAGGCCTAGTATTCCATGTGTATTTGGTAACTCCATGTTCTCTTTTTGTAGAATTGAAAGACTGCCACATGGGGGTGGGAGGACAGGTATGTTCTCCCCACACCAAGAGACCCTAATCGTTGATATGGTCCGTGAGAACAATGCCATTAAACTAAGTAAAATTCAGCAGATGATTGAGGACCATGTACATTTTGTACATTTGAGGGTATCAACAGTGTCAGCCTCTCTACTGTTGATTGTGTCCTCAAGCGCAACAGACACAGTGAGTCAAAGGGCAAAGATTCCTGTATGTGCAGGTTGGCATATACCCAGACGCATCCGATGTTGATCACTCTAAGTAGTGATTTACTGTAGTGGCCTAAATCACTTACAAAACTATCTATTTCTACAGAGCGGTTTTCAACGGGATGCAATGGAAAGACCCCATGAATACATCTACGTGGGTTTAATCTCACCAGAAGGAGAAGGAGAGGCCGTAATGTGATTGGCCATCGGGCCATTGTTGGTGTTCCTGGGCAGCGTGGTGGCAACGTCACATTATGTGCTGCCCTCAGCAATCACGGGGCTGTGAGTTTTCAAAGAGCCCTCCAGGTTAGAGAGGTTCAATATGAGCCAAGGTTTTATCACCGTACTCCCCTTTCCTAAACCCCATTGAGGAATTCTTCTCCGCATGGCGGTGGAAGGTATATGAAGGCCAACCTTAAACCAGGGTAACTCTCCTGCAAGCCATGGGAATGGCCTACATGGTGTGGAGGCACGCCAGAGGTTTTCCTGTGGCCTGACCCAGTACGGAGACGTGATGCTGTGGCTGAGTAATGCACTCATTTGTATATTTTTGTACCAGGCTCCTTAGGTCATTTCTTGGAAGAACTGGACATTCTCCTGTCTAATTTCCCCGAAAATGGACCTCCGCTCATCCTCCTGGGTGACTTCAACATCCAGACAGAGAAGTCATCTGATCTCTTACACCTACTTTCTTCCTTCGCTCTGTCACTCAGTCCCTCTCCTCCTACTCACATAGCCAGCAATCACCTTGACTACATCTTCACTAGAAACTGCTCTACCACTAACCACACATGAACTCCACGTCATGTGTCTGATCACTTCTTCATCTCTTACTCCCTTCCACTCTCTATAACTAACAAACCTCCCTCATTGACTAACTCTGTACCGGCTCGTCGCAATATTCGCTCCCTCTCTCCCTCCTCGCTGGCATCCTCTGTTCTATCAGCTCTCCCTTCAACTGACTCCTTCTCACTCTTGCATCCGAACGCTGCTGCAGAGACTCTCCTCTCAACTCTTTCCTCCTCTCTAGACTCTCTCTGCCCTCTTACGACACGACGGACTGGCAAATCCCCTCCGGCTCCGTGGCTGTCTCAACCGGTCCGTGCCATGAGAGCCACCATGCGAGCGTCGGAAAGGAGATGGCGTAAATATAAACAACCTGAGGACCTGCTCGAATTTCAATCTCTCCTCTCCTTGTTTTCTGCTTCTATCTCTGCTGCCAAAAGCTCTTTCTACCAATCCAAAATCGAATCCTCATTCTCTAAACCCCAAAAAACTCTTCTCGATCTTCTCCAATCTCCTCGAACCCCCTACCCCTCCTCCCCCCTCCACCCTTCTTCCGGGAGACTTTGTCAACTACTTCACCAAGAAAATTGCTGACATACGCTCCTCCTTCTCAAACCCACCTCCTACTTCTCGCGTCCCACCGACCTCACCTCTTTCGCCCTCACTTCCCTCTTTCACCGCCCTCTCTCCTAACAATTCTTACCCTAGTAACCTCTGCCCGTCCGACCACCTGCCCTCTTGACCCCATTCCATCACATCTTCTACAATCTATCGCACCTGACCTTCTTCCGTTCCTCACCTGTCTCATCAACAACGCTCTGTTATCTGGCTGTTTTCCCAATTCTCTGAAGGAGGCAAGAGTCAACCCTCTCCTGAAGAAACCCACCCTCAACCCTTCTGAAGAAAACAACTACAGACCGGTCTCTCTTCTTCCCTTTTTGTCCAAAACCCTTGAACGTGCTATCTTTAATCAACTCTCCTCTTATCTCCACTGTAACAACCTCCTTGACCCCCACCAGTCAGGTTTCAAGGCAGGCCACTCTACAGAGACTGCTCTCCTTGCTGTCTCTGAGCAACTCCACACTGCTAGAGCCGCCTCTCTCTCCTCTGTCCTCATCCTTCTGGACGTCTCTGCTGCATTTGACACGGTCAACCACCAGATCCTTATTTCCTCCCTTCAGGAACTTGGTGTCACAGGCTCTGCTCTCTCCCTTCTCTCGTCCTACCTCGACGGCCGCACCTACCGGGTAACCTGGCGAGGATCTGGGTCGGAACCTTGTCCTCTTACTACTGGAGTTCCTCAGGGTTCCGTGCTGGGTCCCCTCCTGTTCTCGCTTTACACTAACTCTCTTGGCGCTGTCATTCGCTTGCATGGCTTCTCTTACCACAGCTATGCCGATGACACCCAACTAATTCTCTCCTTCCCTCACTCGGACACCCAGGTGGCGGCTCGGATCTCTGCCTGTATAACTGACATCTCTCAGTGGATGTCCGCCCACCATCTGAAAATCAACCCCGACAAGACTGAACTACTTCTCTTTCCTGCAAAAGATTCGCTTACCCAGGACCTGACAGTCAACTTTGGGAACTCCGTACTAACGCCCACCTCGACCGCTAAGAACCTCGGCGTCACACTCGACAGCCAACTCTCCCTGACTCCCAACATCGCCGCAACAACGCGATCCTGTAGATACACGCTCTACAACATCAGGAGAATACGTCCCCTTCTCACTCAGAAGGCAGCGCAAGTACTGATTCAGGCTCTTGTCATCTCCCGCCTGGACTACTGCAACTCCCTCCTGGCTGGTCTCCCTGCCACCGCCATTCGACCTCTGCAGCTCATTCAGAATGCAGAAGCTCGACTGGTCTTCAACCTTCCGAAATTCTCCCACACTACTCCACTCCTCCGCTCTCTTCATTGGCTACCGGTGGCCGCCCGCATCCAGTTCAAAACATTGGTGCTCACGTACCATGCTGTTAATGGATCGGGTCCAGCTTACATCCAGGACATGGTCAAACCCTACATCCCAACCCGCACTCTCCGCTCTGCATCTGATAAACTACTCGTTCCTCCCTCATTGAGAGCAAAACACTCGACTAGGTCTCGACTCTTTGCTGTCCTTGCGCCGAAATGGTGGAACGAGCTCTCTGAAGACACCAGGACCGCAGAGAGCCTTCACATCTTCCGCCGCAAACTAAAGACACACCTCTTCAGACTCTACCTCGACTAAAGACTAACAAATTGTAGCACTTAAATTGTACTTGTAACGTCACTCATCTATAGCAAATTGTAAATTGGCTTATTTGAGGAAATTTCACTTTCTTGTTTCTTGTTCTCCTGAGTTTGTACCCTATGGTTGAATGCACTTATTGTACGTCGCTTTGGATAAAAGCGTCCGCTAAATGACATGTAATGTAATTTATTTTTACATGTGCTTATTGTACATAAGTGCTACGTGTAAATGCACAAGATTTGTGCTAAATGCGCCTACAAGGAACATTTATTTCTCCAGCTTTATGTCCTGAGCATTGTGTTCTATGTAGTGTTTAGTGACAGTAGTCACTCTGGAATGGTTCAGTTTTGAGCCCAGATTTGAGGTGAAAGTTTGGTTTGCAAGAAGAGTCCGAGGTTTGAAAAGCTTTTGAAGGTTTGAAGCTTGAAAATTGGGTTTTGTGTTCAGTTCAGAGAAAAGAAGAGCAGCTTTCAAGAAATGTGTCTTAGCAATCGAGAAAAACTAAGTTGTGGTCACCTGCACTTTGTCTGCAGATGAATAAATAAACTGTAATATTTCATGTCCAACATACAGGAAGGTGTCCGTATCATTGAGTAAGTTTGATAAAAGGAGTCTGGAGGAACTCCGCCTGTTCCTCTCTGGAATGATCTGGTTCCCAAACTCTTGAAGGATACCTTTTTGGTTCGTTGCACAAGAACCAACAACTCGTCTTTGATATAACAAAACTACAGCACATTTCCACCGCTGACAAGCAAGAACCAACAACTCGTAGGTAGATGTGCTTTTCTCTCTCCCACCTTTCTCTGCAAACTGCTGCTTGTTGGTCGGAAAGATGATCTCTGGGTCTCGGTGCTGTGTTCCTTCTGCAAACCCAAGACACAGCGATGAGAAGTTGTTGGTGAAGGTCTGCGTGCAGGTGCAGGTTTTGCTCCGCAGAGAAGATTCATGGTACGAATTCCTGAACGTTACACCTTCATAAGGGGAAACGCATAGAAGCTTCTGCTCAACAGTCGGGGTGCATAAAAAGCCCCAAAGGCCTCCTCACCGCCGAGCTGCAGCCTCGTGGAGCCCAGCGACTTGTACTCCACGCCGCCGTGCGTCCAGCTACAGACGCACGTGTACACGCCCTCGTCCGCTTCGCCGGCTGCAGTAATCCGCAGCTCGCTGCCGTGTTGGTCTGTGATGGACTTTGAACCCTGCAGCAGGAAATAAAGGAGGAATCAGAAGTCACGTGAAAGGTGAACCACGTGAAATCCAAAGGGAGTACGCAGAAGTACGGCGAGACGGGACACTGCCAAGTGTAAGCTTAAGGAAAGGTTGGAAACCAAACCAGCGGTGAGTTGGTCTCAACACGTACGTTCCTCCAGCTGAAGTCGCCTCTCAGCTGCTTACAGGTGAAAATGATCGGTTCTGGACACTCGATTCTTTTGTTCTGATCAGAGTTCTCTATTTTTCCGTAGAGGAGCTTCTCATCATTGACTTTCAAGACCTCAATTTCCGCACAATAGACGAACTGCTCCCCGGATGGACTGTAACCCCTGTAAGAGAAAGCATCACGATCATGGTCCACGAGCAGCGGACGGGCTCGGGGGGGGACGTGCTGCAGACAAAGTGTCCTCACGTGGCGGTGTACGAGCCCGAGTCATTGGGCTCGGCGCTGAAGAGGAAGAACGCGTTGCCGCGGCTGTACAAGCTCTGGTTTTCCTCGGTGGGGACGTCCTCCTCCTTGTCCCTGGTCCTCCTGGTCCAGGTGAGATTCTGTTTCTGGGATTCTTCAGTGGACCTCTGAAAAAAGGGCACGTAGTACAACGCCTCCCCCACAGAGAGGTAGCGGTGCTCCACATCGGAGGGATCACAGAGCTCCTCGGCCGACCCTGAGCATGGGGGGGGGGGGTTAGACTTTGGCATCAGTTTTCATGCAAACCTCTTTCACCACACCCACACCCGCACGCTGACGTCAGGGGAGGCGTTTAAACAGAACCAGACACACGCCGTGTCATATAGCTGCATGTATTCTACATTGTTCGTTCTGCACACATGGCTTCCATTGTAGTCTGTCCATCAGGAGACGGATCCTCCTCTGACCTTCTCACGAAGGTTTCTTCCCTTTTGTCCCTCTTGGGAGGGTTTTTTCATTGTTTGGGGAGTGTTTCCTGTGTCGATGGAGGGTTTCGGGACAGAGGATGTCGTATGTGCACAGACTGTAAAGCCCTCTGAGGCTAGTTTCTCATTTTCTCAACTTTTTTTAATTAGCGATTTTGGGCTCTACAAAATAAAATGAATTCAATTGAATTGTTCACGACGGAGGACGTCTCATGAGGACAGACTGTAATGTCCTCCGAGGCAGATTTCTCATTTTTACAACTTTTTTGAATTTGCGATTTTTTGAATTGAAAAAGCAGAAGAAAATGTCTGTAATGTTCTGGATATCGTACACAACTCTTGCTGAGTGACTTCCCTCCCCACTACAGGTCTCCTCTGTACGCCCATCAATCCACCCTGAGGCCTACCTGAAGGCTCGGACGTAGCCCCCACCACCAAGACGAGGAGCAGAAGTCGGGAGGCCTGCATTGTCTGAGAGAGAGAGAAGAACATTCAGGCTTTCTGCTTCTGCTCATCAACATGAGCGCCCCCCCCCTCCATCCTACCCCCTCCATCCTACCCCCCCCTCCATTCTACCCCCCACATAGAACGATGATATCATGCTACAGTTTCGAAATAAGTAAAGGAAGACGCTCAGCAGGCCGTGACGGCAGCAGGATGTCAGATTACAGGTTGCTTGGAACCGTCCTTGATGATGAGTAACGTGCAGCGTGGGACCGAACATGTGAGTTACAGAATCAAGAGATCGAACTCTCACAGCAAATGAGTTGTTTGCTTGTTGTGTATTTTGTGTCTATTTTTACAGATGTATTAAATCCAAAACACAAGTTTAGAGAGTGTAACTAAGATGACTCACTGGCTGCTGGATCTTATGTAAATATACAGACGTTCCTCCTCCCAGCAGCGTCCAGTCGCAACAAACCCACCCTGTCCTGCTGTGGAAGGAGGTCTCTGAAGACACCAGGACCACAGAGAGCCTTCACGTCTTCAGACTAAAGACACACAGACTCTCCCTCCACTAACACACTAACTAACTGTACCACTTACATTGGACTTACAATGGTTCTTATCTACAGCGAGTTGTAAACTGGCTCATTTGATGAAATTGAGTGAGGTTGCGTTCACGGGTCGAGTTGAATCAAACACACCGGAAAGATTTACGGTTCGGAGGAACTGGCTTACCTGGTGAGCGCGCGTACCGGCGGCTGCAGCGAAGAGACGGTCCTGTGCGCGCCCTCGCCTTTATATGGGTCCTGCGCGCGGCCCCGCCTTTATATGGGTCCTGCGCGCGGCCCCGCCTTTATATGGGTCCTGCGCGCGGCCCCGCCTTTATATGGGTCCTGCGCGCGGCCCCGCCTTTATATGGGTCCTGCGCGCGGCCCCGCCAGTCCATACAGAGTGAGAGAAGCGCGTTCCGAGGGAGCTCGTGCAGACAGGTGTCCCAGTCATATCTATCTACACGACACCTCAGCTTCCGGCTGCGTGTGGCAGAGAGAGACACGTCCCGTCTCTGCATGAGGACATCATCTCAGTAATGGACTGAGGACACGGAGCCAAAGTTACATTTATGTATTCAATTAGGGTGACAGACGTCCTCTTGTCCCCGGACATGTCCTCTTTTTGAGACCTAAAAAATGCGTCCGGCAGGGATCCCAAAAACCTCCGGGACTTTGCTTCGTGGGATATTTGTGTTCCTCTGGGTTTTTCCCAAACTAGTTATTCCGCCTTTACACGTTTTGGAAATGGTGTCTCTCTGTAGAGAGAACAGCCTCAATGTTGCCAGATACACGATAATTATCCTCCAAATAAAACCTTTGGTAGATACTTAGAGCACCTTGCCGCCTGCATAGTTGCTTTGTTGACAGCACGTGACATCTGCAGCCAATCTTAAGAAATTCATTGAGAGGAGGGACGAAGAGGAGCGATGAAGATTTCAGTGATTTGAGGTGGACCAAGTTCCTGGAAAAATCCCAAAGTGTAGATTTTCATTCGCAGCTGCTTAACATTGCACAGTTTTTTTTTGCAATACCTGCTCACGATGCAAATGTCGAGCGATTTTTTTCGCTGATGCGAGTCCAATGGACCAAGGAGAGGAATCGCTTGTCTGTTGAATCACTGCAGGGGATTCTGTGCACCCAGTACAATATCAAACACATGACCTGCAAGGACTTTTTATTTGATAGGTAATCGCCGACTCTTGGGACAACGGGATCTCCAAAACCTGTTCTGTTTCTGGGTTTCTTCATACAAATCGGTAACAATACATAGGAACTGGCGGTGGTTAACCACGCCCCCTGAGTGAACAACATGGCGGACCATGTCGGATTCTTGAGTGAACGTCTCTCCGCCATGTTGGATGTTTTGAGGGGGTTAGTGTTAGTGATCTATTCTTACAAGTTAACATTGATTTCTCGTTAAAAATGCAATCGTAACACGTTTATTTTACATGGTTAGACTTCACTAAGTGTGTTTACGGGGCGCAGGTCCCCGTTCACTGTGAACAGGGCGACGTCATCAGTTGCAGTCCGTACTTATTTAGTATGTATCACTACGAATTTGTATGTTTAAGATTTTCGTATACCACATGTAGCATTCTGTGTCCTTAACCGGAAACCTCTTGTGGGTCCTCAACTTCACACGTGTTTTTGGGCTTGAATCTTGACGTATTTAAACCCGGTAACAGCTGGTAATGAGACACGAGGACGTGAGACATCGCAAGACCAGACAGACGGTTCTGACGGGCGTTACTGCGTTATTACGCGAAGACGTTTAATACGTTTGTCCGAGGATGTCCGGCCTCCCCCCTTCACACGTGCACGCACACACACACACACACACACAAACATGCACACGCACACATGCACACACACGCATACACACACATGCACGCAAACACACACATGCACACACACGCATACACACACATGCTCGCACACACACACACACACACACATGCACACACACACATGCACACACACACACACACATGCACACACACACATGCACGCACACACACACACATGCGCACACACACATGCACACACACACACGCACGCACACACACACACATGCGCACACACACACATGCGCACACGCACGCACGCGCACACACACGTAGGGAGACTTAAAATGGTCTTTCTCTAATCGTCGGCCTGTGAGCTCGTTTTCAGTTCAACTTTTAATGGATTTGCAAGAATTATCAAACATTTGATGCAATTCAAACTTTAGAGCCAATAAACAAACAAACTGGTGCAATGAATATTTATTCATAAGAAGACAACTGAGAAAGACGATGAGCAAAGATTCAACGTGAAAAAGATAAGAAAACCTCAAGTTCCTCTGAAGACAGGAAATGACAGCAGGGAGATTCTGTGTGTGGGTTCCGATGTCTTAACAGCCACCGCCGTTAACAGCCACCGCCGTTAACAGCCACCGCCGTTAACAGCCACCGCCGTTAACAGCCACCGCCGTTAACAGCCACCGCCGTTAACAGCCACCGCCGTTAACAGCCACCGCCGTTAACAGCCACCGCCGTTAACAACCACCGCCGTTAACAACCACCGCCGTTAACAGCCACCGCCGTTAACAGCCACCGCCGTTAACAGCCACCGCCGTTAACAGCCACCGCCGTTAACAGGTTAAACTAAGGCTGGATTCAAATAGTCAAAGAAATGACCTCCTAACATTTGTTCCTAACCACATTGACCTCTGTGGAAAAGGTCACGGGGTGAAGGAAAGGTGGTTAGGAGAGTTGATGAGGAGACGGGAAAGGACGGGTGACGTCAGTCTGCAGCGGTTAGTGTGAGTCGTGCGGACACACAAACAACCAGCTTCAAAGGAAAACGGTATTAACGTAAACGAGTGAGTCACATGATCTGCGTTTCTACGTCACGATCGTCGTTTCTCCTGAACGGACCAATGACACGTCTCTATTTGAACATTCCCTCCGCCAGCAATCATCTCCTTTCCTTTGGTCCATGGTTCCTATGCTGAAGGAGTAAGGAAGCATTGAGGCTCCTTTCCTTAGCATTACAGAATATGGCGACACTTCACTCAGTGAGGAACCTTCTGAGAACATTTGACAATTCAAATCCAGGAATTTACTCACTAATGTGCTACATGACCCCAATGACCTCGTCTGAGGGGGGGGTCATCTGGTCCTTCCGCCCTCTTGAATGTTCAGTTACGATCCCCCCCCCCCCCCACTCCTGCTGTCTCACCCTGGCTGGTCTGAGAGGAAACACATGTGCGATGATGAGAACACGTCAGAACACGTCAGAACACGTCCTCACACAGGGGTTCCTCAAAAGCCTGGCGGTCCGCCTGTGGCTGAGTTCAGATGGCGGCCGGGCGCCCCCCGACGGCACCGAGGGCATGTGGTACCGCAGACTCTTCCAGAAGCTCCTACTGGCTCCGCGGGTGCTCCTCCACCGCAGGGCGCCATGCCTCCTCCTGACGTAGCGCAGCGACTCGGGCAGGCGGCTGTAGTCCACGGGGCCGCCTGGTGGATCGGAGCACAAGGGTCCCACGTCAGTTGTCATGGAAACACGTGCACTAAAAAGCCCCCCCTGTCTGTGGATAAAAGCCGAGTCCGTCCTCACCCACTTCCACCAGGATGACCCGGGGGTCGTTGGAGGTCAGCGCGTCATGGAGGCCGACCTTCTGCTCGTAGCACAGCCGGGGCTCCGTTCTTCCATCGGGGGGCGGGTTCGCCTCAGGTGATATGATGATGATCAGCCTGCGGCAGCGCCGCACCGTGGCGGCGACGGCGTCGTGCACCGCTGGAAGAGACAGGAAGTCAGAAAGCAACGTGACCTTCGGGTGAAGGACAGAGGAACACAATCAGTCAACGAGCTTGAGGTACGTGCACTCCGACGCCTCCACACCTCAAAGGGAAATGTGCTACTTTACAGCATCGCTGCAGGCCTGATTGCATCCTGCAGACTGTACATGGCGGCAAATCAGGTTGATGCTCGCGCGTAAATCAAACGTCCACGTCTGTTATTGGTAAAATGTCAAAATCTGTGAACGTCTCAAATTACAGGTCTCGAATTTTGACAGTGATTTTCCGCCATAATGTGCTTTAATCTGCTTTATTCTTTTATTTGCAGATTTTCAGGAGGAAATGTTGGATTAGGTAAGTGTCCCTGAATGACATCACTTAGTTACACACAATTACACATGAGAACATGAACCAGAACCAGGGTTGTTCCCCAGAAATCCTCCAGGTGGATTGTGTACCTTCCCCGGGGCAGTCGTCCCGTCCCGGGATGTACAGGGAGTAGCCGTGTTGTTCCTCCAGCTCCTCGGGAAGGAGCCCCAGGGCCAGGCTCGCCGCCTCAGCTGACCCCGGGCCGTCGGGCGGGAGGAAGCTGACGTAGGCGTCGTAAAGCTTCCCATCGAGAGCTGCACGCGGAGGGAGAGAGGACGACGACGGTGGAGCATATTTACATACATGTATATATATAATATGTATATGAAAACCTCCGAGCAGAGCGCACCTCGCTTGGAAAAGGTCCTCAGCAGCTTCCTGTGGGCCAACACCAGGTCCACTCTGAAGAAGACGAGGACCGCGAAGAGCAGCACGAGAGCCAGGGAGGAGGAGAGGCCGAGGGCCACGGCGGTGTAGAGGGCCCTGTGGTCGGCTGGAGAGAGGAGGAGGAGCAGGAGGAGGAGGAGGTGGAGGAGCAGGTGGAGGAGGAGGGGGTGAAGCAGGTGGAGGAGGAGCAAGAGGTGGAGGAGGAGGAGCAGGAGGAGCAGGAGGTGGAGCAGGAGGAGGAGGGGGTGAAGCAGGAGGAGCAAGAGGTGGAGGAGGAGCAGGAGGAGGAGGAGGGGGTGAAGCAGGTGGAAGAGGAGCAAGAGGTGGAGGAGGAGCAAGTGGAGGAGGAGGAGCAGGAGGAGGAGGGGGTGAAGCAGGAGGAGGAGGAGGAGCAAGAGGTGGAGGAGGAGGAGGAGGAGGAGCAGGTGGAGGAGGAGGGGGTGAAGCAGGTGGAGGAGCAGGAGGTGGAGCAGGAGGAGGAGGAGCAGGAGGAGCAGGAGGTGGAGCAGGAGGAGGAGGAGCAGCAGGAGGTGGAGGAGGAGGAGCAGGAGCAGCAGGAGCAGGTGGAGGAGGAGCAGGAGGAGCAGGTGGAGGAGGAGGAGGAGAGGGAGGAGGAGGAGCAGGAGGAGGAGGAGGAGGTGGAGCAGGAGGAGGAGGAGGAGCAGGAGGAGGGGGAGGAGCAGGAGGTGCTGGTTCAGACATTTGGGCCGAGAGCAAACACAAGCCAGCAGTCTGGGAGGAGACTCGTATTATCTTAGTATCTCTTATTATTTATTATATATTAATGTTATTTCACAATCACAGCTGACATTGAATTAGTGTGAATTCAGATCAGACCTGAGGCGTGTGGGAGAGATGCAAATGTTGCATATGAAAGAATAAGTTATAACTCTTTTTTTCTGTTTGAATTCATTGGAATGAAGAGATTCATAGTTGCAAACTAGTTAATCTTTTCTCTCTTGTGAACAAAAACAGTTTATTATTTGTTTCCTTCTGGGAGACAAGCGAAGAAAATCTTCACCAACTTGTCAATATTCCCATTTTCTTCCGGGGAAGTCTTTATTTACATAACTGGTAACACGTAAGTGTGCGTAAAGGCCCCCGCTCAGATCACGTGGTGCACCTCAGCCCCTTGTGGCCAAACTGGGAATCACAACAACAAGCAGAACCTCTTCATAAGCACAGAGTGGGTTTCCTTTCACCGCTGAGGCCTTGCACGCCTCTGGGGTGACTGTGGCGTGTCATGGCAGAAGGAGAGGAAGAGGAGAAGAAGAAGAAATACCTTCTTGAAGCCACACGTCACCCTTGTGGGATCCGCCCGGGTTCAGCACCCAGCAGAAAATGGGCACATTCAGGAAGTGGCGGCGGACGTTAGAGATGGAGAGGGTGGACTCCCCGAACACCCTCCCTCTGTGGTGAACACTGAAAGGGGCGGGGCCAGTCAGCCAATCAATCAATCAATCCATCCATCCATCGGTTATCAAGAAAGAATGTGGGGTCTTCACGCTGTCTCTTCTCTCCCTGTGCTTTGTTTAAAAAAGCTTCATCGGCCAGATTCAGCATCAAGGAGGCAAACAACAGTAAACCATAAATAAACACTCACAATTTCCAGGAGTCGTGGAGTTCCTCGTGCCCGTCGGTGTCCGTCTCGTTCACCGTCCAGTACATGGACGTCTCCGGGTCCTCGCTGAAGCCGATGGAGGCCAAGCACTCCAGCTCCACCCTCGCCCCTGTGGAGCAAAGCACGCAGGGAAGCCCTCGCCGTCACCGACGGGAAGCGACGCGGGTTGACCTCTGACCTCTGATCGCCAGAAACAGCGTTTACAAAGGCAATCGGCGTCGCCCGGATTCCCGCATGTCGAGACACGAGGGGAAACAGGCACGACGGTAGTGCTGCTGCACTAATGAATTTAACTGTTTCAGTGACTTGATTCATTTTTATTTGCTCATAAGCTATTTTATAATAACTTTTAACTTTAGACTTTTATTCGTTTTATTTGACCAGAGAGAATGTTGAACAAATGACTCGTCTGTTCACATCAAATGTTCAAATGCGGAATAGAAACACCAGCTCAGCAGATGACTCAAACCAGACAGGCATGCAGAGCGTGTGCGTGTGCGTGTGCGTGTTACTGTGTCAGTGGTTACACTTACCTTCTTGGACCAACAGCACTTTGTGTTGAGGGTAAACCACCTCGGGCTTCACAGCGAGCGTACCCTCGATCCCTTAAAACACACAACCGGCGCAACACGTCAGACCCCAGTGTGATCAGGCTGAACACACACACACACACACACACACACACACACACACACACACACCCTTGTCAACGGTCACCCGGATGCTGCGTGCGGCGGTGTACGTCCGGCCGTCCACGCTGACGTCGACCAGGCAGGTGTAATTCCCAGAATCCCCCCGAGAGGCGGCAGAGAGCCTCATGAGGCCGCCGTGGTCCACGGTGACGTGTCCCCCCCCCTCCATGGGCCGGCAGTCCTAGAGGCCCCCGAAAGCACAAAGACGTCATCATGGGCGGGCCCGAGGTCACAGGGGCGCTGTCACGGCGCGTTTTCAGGTCATACTGTAAATCTACTAATACGCAGCGACCAGATCATTTAAAACCAAGGAGCCGTGTTAGCTGCATGCTAAGCTACAAGCTAACAGACTGCTGGCTGCACCAAAAAGGCCTGAAACGTTGGTCTTTTAGAACATCACGTTGCCTGTTTTCATTTCATGAGGGCATGACGTGACGCTTCAGTCTGATCAAAACAGCCTTCATGGAGGAAGCTCGGAGGCTTCCTGCCGCTGTGCTCAGCCAGCGGGACTCTTTGCACACGGCCCTGAAGCAGCGCTGCATCATTCATCAAGTCACAAATGTTACAGGAAGACAAAAGTCCAATCTGTCCTTTCACCAGACATGAGGCGGGCGAATGTTGATCCTAAACGCAGCTTCCAACCGTTGTCCCTTCAAACGGAACCGGTAGAGATGAACCGACGCCTGGTACCTTCATCCAGCGCACGTTCCTGGTGCTCTTCAGATGGAAGATCTCCTTCTGCTTGCAGGAGAGACTTCCAGGGACCTCCAGGGAAAGGGACTTGTACTCAGGCGGGTCGGGGCACTTCCCTCTGGACACCGACACCCCGAACGTGGCCCTGAGCGCTCCGGGGGGGTCCCTGAAGAGGAGATGAGCTTTAACCCAATTACAGTCACATCATATACTGTATACATATATATATATATATACCAGAAGGAATACCTTTTCTCACAGGTGTAGACTCCGTCATGAGACATCTGCACAGGTAGAAACCACAGCAGCCCTTCTCTGACCTCCACCCCCGGGGGCAGGCTGGGGTCGCCCCCCCCCCTGCTCCACGTCACGTTGGCGTGGTTGTCCGCAGAGAGGCACCTCAGCAGGAAGAGGTGGCCGATGCTGACGCGGTAGGTGTCCGTCTCCCCATGGTGGTCTGGGTGGGACAGTGAGGGGAGATCAGCTGTCTGTCGGTGCTAACAGCGTTAGCATCGGGGCAGCAGGTGAGGAAGCACAGGTGAGTAAACAGGAGAGAAGGGGAGAGCCCAGCAGCTGACTTTAACCCACTTATTATTATTATATCAGGTTTTTGGTGCAGACATCCCCTCAATAAGAGAGCTCGTCATAGGTCATAGGTTTTTAAACTTGAACATACCGACATACGTAACGTTAGTGGATAGAAGTCGCACAGTTTAAAACGTAAGTGAACAAACCACAACAGCTAAATAGTAGAAAGTAAGGAGAAAAGACTCCGCTTGAGGGTATTTCTGCTGGCGCTGATATCCATGCTAGCTAACGCTAACTAGCTATCTGCTAGCTTAAATAATGAGCGCGTCAACGTGCTCCTGGCTGAGGATGAAAGTGAATTATTAGAAATAAACTGACGACCCGGTTCATAAATGAATAATTCATTAAATGCATTTAGTGTACACCACAATACAGCTGTGTAATTAATACATTAAGGACAATATTGTAAAACCACTGTAATTTTGAAACTGTAATCAATAGAACAATACCAGCTGTGATTGTATTAAATGTGATGTGACCGACTGAAATCCCACTTAATTTATTGACCTGAGAGACATTCGAAATCCATCGAAATTACATTGGACTCATCAGGAGACCACAGCCAAGATGTCTTCTGTCCGTCCGAGCTTCCTTCATTCTTAGAACACAACAAAAGCCATGAGGTGGAGTAAGTGTGATGGTGATCACCTGTACATTAAGGTACATTAAGGTACATTAAGGTACATCAAGGTGCATTAAGGTACATTAAAGTGCATTAAGGTGCATTACGGTACATTAAGGTGCATTACGGTGCATTAAGGTGCATTACGGTGCAATAAGGTGCATTAAGGTGCATTAAGGTGCATTACGGTGCATTAAGGTGCATTACGGTACATTAAGGTACAGTAAGGTGCAATAAGGTGCATTAAGGTGCATTAAGGTGCATTACGGTGCATTAAGGTGCATTACGGTACATTAAGGTGCATTAAGGTGCATTAAGGTGCATTACGGTGCATTAAGGTGCATTACGGTACATTACGGTGCAGTAAGGTGCAGTAAGGTGCAATAAGGTGCATTAAGGTGCATTAAGGTGCATTACGGTGCATTAAGGTGCATTACGGTACATTAAGGTGCATTACGGTGCATTAAGGTACGCCGACTACCGCGGACGTGTTCCGTGTCCACGAGCCGCCGACGACGACCCCGGAGGTTTCCCGTGTCTCAGCGCCTGCCATTCCAGAGACGTTCCGTGCCCTGCAGTCGCCGCTCCGGACCCGGCCAAATGACCGTCCGCCAGACCGACCCCCAGAGGCTCCCCGGTCGTCTGGCCGCCCGCCAGAGTTTCCCGGATGGTCCGACCAACGTCTCTGGTTTCCCTCCCCCCCCCACCCCTTGTTCGCTCTAGTGTTGGCCGTCTGGAATTCGGCCCTTGAGGGGGGGGTACTGTCACGGTGTGGTTCACTTCCTGTCGTATTTTGTAGTTTTCTGCCACTCGTGTCCCCGGGTAACTTCACTTCCTGCCTTGTCCCGTCATCCCCTGTGATCGTCTGATAGTTTCCACCTGTGTCCAATCACCTGCACCTCCCTTGTGTATTTAAGCCGTGTGTCTCTGGTGTCACTTGTTGCGTCATTGTCTTTCGTCGTGGATGTTCGTAGTTTCCCGCCTGCTGGTTTTTCCCCTGGTTTTTCCCCTGGTTCTTCCCCTGGTTCCTGTGTGTTTTTGCCCGTTGGCCTTTTGATTTTGCCTTTTGACTATTAAAGTCTTCTGTTTCCTGAGAAATCTGCGTTTGAGTCCTGCCTCCCCCACACATCCCACACGTTAAGGTGCATTAAGGTAGCTGAAGAACTAACACGCTGTTGACCTGTTTTACTTGTTTGCTACAGATATAAATATATATATATATAAATATATATATATATAAATATATATATATATATATATATTTATATATATATATATATATATATTTATATATATATATATATATATTTTTTTTTTATACAACCGGACACACAGACACGCAAACTGAGACTTACTAGAAATGTGGCAAAAAACACAACACACCTTCCCATCCAAACTGACAGGTGCGTTATGTAATATATATATATATATATATATATATATATATATATATATATATGTGTGTCTAAACATTAACGTGCGAGGGGGATTAAACAGGAAAAGCAGTGTCACACAGGACTCTTTATTATTATATATGATTATGTATTATATATATAGGATTATATATGATTATGTATTATATATATAGGATTATATATGATTATGTATTATATATATAGGATTATATATGATTTTGTATTATATATATATATATATATATATATATATATATATATATAGGATTATATATGATTATGTGTGGCATGAACACATCGAGGCGTATAAACTATGTGGCTTCACCTTCCTCCTCTGTGTAACTCGCATCTCTTTACCCAACAAATGCTTCCCTGGAAGCCGCGTTTGCCCGTTTCCCCCGTGACGCTTACGGAGAGCTGAGCGTCTCGCTCACAAGAGACGGAGTGACTCACCGTGAGCCGCAGCGAGCGCGGCGCCGGCAGCCATCAGAAGGGCCCAGCTCGCCGCCATCGCCCTGGTTGGTGGGGGGGACACACGTTAGCTGTCTTCAGAGGCCCCTGCGAGTCCTCCGACATGGCTTGTGTCCTCCGCCGCGCTGACTCAGGCTGCTTCCAGTAAAGGGAAGTGAGCGAGGTGCCGTTTACGCAGCGGATTGAGCCAAAAAGGAAGGCAGGGGCCCCCCGGCAAAGTCACAGGAAGTTCAACCGACGCCCCTCGGGTCAACGGCCAGCAGGCCGGCGGCTCGGTTCTCTCCAGAACCCCAAATTCTGTCATTTTTATCCAACGCAAAATGTGCCTGGATTCTACGCTCAATAAATCGGCCTTATTTTGTCATCAGAAAAAAAGAGCCTATTGCTGAGTGATCAATACACATCTATGCTGTATGAACAGATGAGTAGTATATGTATATATATATATATATATATATACACATATCTATAAACGGACAGCTTTAACTTACCTCGTGCGGTGCAGCGTCTTCCCTCCCACCTTGAGAACTGTTCCCCTCACGCCGGCGTTCAGCTGCCACTGACAGAAGAAAAAGCACCTGTGGTTTTCGTCCTGTAGGTGAACCGGAATAATAAAGTAGAGCTTCTGCTCCGTATGTAGGTCGGTGCGAAGGAGGATGTGTGTCCTCGTTGTGCCACCAAAAAGAAATGTTCCAAACGTTGCAAGCGAAAATAAAGTTTGTAAGTAAAAATATATAAACTGAGAAAATGTATCTGTTAGTTTTTCTTATGAAACTATTGTTTTTTTTCCTGCAAAACTAAAACTTTTCCTCTCAAAACAAAACCTTTGGTCTTTGTTTTGTCTCATTGCAACACAAAAGGGCCAATTCATTTAACTCTTATGAATAAACTCCTATATCCGATTCAATCATTCAACATACGTCTCTCTCACTCCACATTTAAATCAAACTCAAACCGTAACCCTTGTAACAACTTTGCACATCGTTCTGCTCATTTTCATCCCTGTTATTGCTAAAGGACAAAAGGTAGAGATTTGAACCATTTCCACGGCGGAGAGAAAGGAACTCGATCCACTGCCACGGCGAGGCCACAGAAAGAAGAAGAATCGCGTAGTTCTTGTCGGTTTTTCACGATGTTTATTGAGTAGACGACGGTCACAGTCACTTCCACGCACATGGAAACATTTTCACACGTTGACACGATGCACAACATGTGCCCTTTTTTTCAGGAATAGAAATCAATCAAAATAAATGCATTTCTGACACACATGTTGCTCCTCTGACTTCACATTTTATTATCTGTCGCTCAAAAACATGAATGAACTGCATTGATTTAATATCTTACTGTTCAGCATGAAGGGACTTTCTTTATGTGACACATATGTACATGTTACAGTCACTCCTGAGTCCTTCAGTCTCCCCCGTGTCAGCGGTCACACGTGACCCGACGGTCACACGTGACCTCCTGTCCTCTGACGTGCTGCACTTACCACCAGAGATGTGCTACTTGTAGAGAACCTTTTCAAAGGCGTCCCCCATGGAGGCTCTAAGTGCCTCCAGCCGTCTCCGTCCACCTTCTCCAGCAGCGAGCTGAGGAGACGACGCCCACCTGTCACTCAAAGAGCCCACGCCCTAAAATTAAGCGACTGGATAAAATGAAAAGGGATTGAGCGCGGCCTTTTAGCGGCGGTGGGAAAACCCTCCGTGGAGACCAAACCGTGTGCTCGTCCCCGGCGGTGGAGGTCTGTCCTTCGCCGTGGGGGTCTGTGGGGGAACCAAGCTGAAAGACGCCCATCACAAGCTCAGCAGGGCTGTTTTTTCAGGGTACGCCCCCCTCTTGCCCCTCACCGGCATGCGATACCTCATCTCCTTCCAGAAGCGGGAGGAGGGGGACAGGGACGCGGCGCCGCCGCCGCCTCCCGTCTCCCCGTCCTCGCTCGTCCCGCCGCTCCGGTTCTTCCACCAGCGAACGGCGCCCTGCTTCTTCCTCAGGTGACGCACCGACTCGGGGAAGAGCGCCAGCTGAGCCGGGGAGATCGGCTCCAGTTCCACCAGAATCACCTGAGGGGGGAGAGGGGGGGGGGGGGGCGGTTAGAGACCCGGATCTAAGCGCGGCGTGCGAGCGCGGCCCACGAAGGTGGTCGTGATGGTCACCTTGAGCGACCTCTCCAGCAGCGCCCGGTGCATCGCCGTCACACACTCCAGCTGCTGCCTGCCGTCCGGGTGGCCGTCCTCCCCGCCGCCCGGACGCACCTCGTTGTTGTTGCCGCTGCCGGCGTGTCTCTTGCCGACGAACGTGGCGGCGGTGTAGATCAGCAGGAGGCGGCGACTGGCTTGTATGTTCTCCTCCACGGAGTCCACCACGGCTGCAGGGAGGGAGCAGAGCTTTAAATCCTACAGGGTTTCCTCTCGAAAACCGCAAGGCTGGCGTCGCGTAAAGGGAGTGGCCACAGGGCGGTCCCCGTCCCGTGGCCCGACTCCCCGGTCCCGGGCACGCAATCCCGACGAACAATAAAGAATTTGTACCCGCAGTCCTCTCCAGCACTTGGGCAGCGTGCGGAGGGCAAAGGCCTCCTCCTTCCGCTGAAGCCGACGCGCGGGGCCGAGGATACGCCACGTAGGCGTCGTACGACTTCCCGTCGCAATCTGGCAGCGTGAACACAGAGAGAGGAGACTTTCAGTGGGTTAGGGTTCGGTCAGCAGGGTCTCAGGTTTGTGATCCTTTGTTAGTGATTTATCTCATTGTGAGTTCGTGTGAGTTTTCTCAGGTTCTGAGGTTTTGTTGCATTTGGAAAGGTTCCTCCGTCGAGCGGCAGAAGGCCTTTCATCAGCGCTGTGGTCGCCTAGTTTCCTTCTGTTTGCTCTCGCTGTTGACACACGCGGTTGTGGCGGGCGGGGGCGGGGGCGGGGGCGGAGCTTAACGCGTGCGTCTCAGCACATAACGCTGTCTTTAACCAGTGAGCTGACGTGAAGATGAGACGGCGAAGTGTTACCTGTGTTTGCGTAGAGCACCGGAAACGTTCTCCTGAACCACAGCACCACGTCCAGCTTAAAAACGTAGTAGGCGACGACGCCGACGACGAACAGCACCATCCCTCCGCCCAGCGCCGCGCCGATGGGGACCATGCTGTTGGGATCTGTCACATCGCACAAAATCACATATCGCCGCATCGTCACAAAACCAGGAGCGACGGGTGATGGCGTGACCCCCCCCCCCCCACGCCAATATGGTGGACACACAGTGGGAGACGATGTCCCTGCAGTTACCTGCTGGCAGCAGGGTGAAGTAGCCCGTGGGAATGCCCCTCGAGCTTTGTGCCAAGCAGGTGTAGTTGATGTTGAAATCCTCCTCCCGCAGCTCGGGGATCATCAGCACCCGCTCCAACCACACGCCGGCGATGGGCGCGTCCTGCTTCCACATCCTGGCGAGGGGGGGGGGGGCGCCCCGAGGGCCACAACACGTTAGTTCCCGTGCGAGCGGGATCGATTCTTCGACGCAACCGCTGCATGCGAGCAGAGCGCTGTTGTCTCGGCGGGCGGCGGCGAAGCTGCTCACCGTAGCTGGGAGGTGTAGATCCGGTCGACCGGCGTTTTGAGGATAAAATGTAAAGTCTCTTTCCCGCCAAAATTATGCCGCCGTGGGGTTTCCCGGACGGCGGGCACAAACACCCCGCCGCCGCTTGCGAAAATTTGGAGCCGGACCACAAACCCCATGAGTATTAACACGCACATTACCACGTCCCCGCGCGCGGGGTTATGAATAGCTGAGGATGTATTTACAAGAGAGACCCTCAGTTTATCTTTCTAATAGAAGATAATCTGTAGATGGGGGAGAGAGAGCACTCACCGAACGGCGCCCTGATGATCTCATTGGCGGGTTCGTGGACTTCTGGAACCAAAAAGTAGTTTTCTGAAAACACATGAAATACAGGCGCTGAGTGTTTGGACCTTTGGCTGCAAACACTCTGCTCGTGTCTTAAATCTAATAAATGCATCTCTGTGTGTCAACGAGGCGTAGTCGCATTTTCACTTTGGCTAAAGTGCGATTTATAGAAACAGGACACAATTAAAGTTCATGTGGAAGTTGAGAACCAAAGGTTCTGTGGGAACGGACCAGCCGGGCGACCCTACAGGAATCAGGACTGTACCAGCTGTGATCCCTCAGAGGGGACATTGGGAAATGTCCTGATCACGGTAATTATGTCTAATACAATGATTTGTAAACTTTATCCAAATTGAGTTAAATGTATTGTGTTCGTTTGCATTTTAACTGGCAATATAAGTTGTGTTGTCTCGTCCCCCTTTTTGTCTTCATGGTGCTGCACCTCTTATAAATCCTGTGTTCTTGTCTTGGGGGGCTTCAGGTTCCCGGGGGGAGTGAGTGGGAGTTGAAGGTGAAGGGGGTGTTGGATTTTGTCCTCTGTCATTTATGTCCTTTTATTGGGTGGACGGTCCCCATGAGGGGACCTGGATGCGGGTTTTTGATCCTCTCCAGTGAGGCTGTGTTCACCTTTTTGATCTTGCGTGAGCGAGATTCAATAAAAACTCACAAATTGCAGAATACTTTGTTCCCCGTCTTGCGGTGATGGACTCAATCGGCGGTGTGAAAGTCTCATGGCGGATCCGTCACACCGTCGAAGGAGACGCGCCCCCGTTTACCTGAGACCAGCGCCGTGATGCTCTCCGACACGGACCGCTCCGCCCCGCCGAGGGTGAAGCTCAGCGTGCAGGTGTAGGACGAGTTGTTGTTGCGCTCCACCTGGTCGATCTTCAGTCTGGCCGTGTCCAGGTAGGTGTACCGGCCTGTCCCGTCCACGATGCGCTCGCAGCCCTGGAGGGGGGGGGGGGGGGGGGGGGCGGCAACGAGGAGGATCCAGATCCCTCAGAACGGTGGCACGTGGGGAAACCCGATGGCCATGTGACGAGAACTCACCCGGTACCACGCGACGCTGGAGGACACGTTGTAGCTGTCCAGCTTGCCAATGTAGTCCTTCAGGGGGCAGTTCAGGATGTCCGTCACCCTGTTGGTCAGCGGTTGGACGGCTTTTCTCGGCCGGCCGCACTCCCCAGGTACCGGCGCCTCCACCACCAGCTTGGTGGCCTGGCTGAAGCACTCGGACGGGGTTCTGATGGAGACGACAGTCAGCGGCGCTCCTCCCCCCACAACACAGAGACCCCGCTAGCAGACGGACACACTCACGCACCTCACTATGCTCACATACTCCCCAGAGTCCTCCATCGTCAGGTCCAGGAACCACAGCGTCCCCCCGCTCACCAGGAAGCTGCCGCTCTGGTCGCTCATCTCTCGGCCCCCCAGGTCGTACCAGCTGATGTTGTAAGGGACGCTGGTGAAGTTGAAGACCTCTGGAGACACCAAGGTGCTGCTCAGCATGGCCGCGTCCCCGGGGACCGAGAAGACCCTCTCGAACTGGAGGTTGTAGTTCTTGCAGTTCTCTGAAACGCAGCCGGTCATTTGAGAAAAGAAAACGAGCTGCTTTTCGTTTGGACCGACAGCTGGTCCTGAATGGATGAACAGAACCTTTGAACGTGCCGATTTCAATTACAGAAAAGTCTCTGCTTCCTGTTTGCTAATATGTTTAGATTCATTGGTCATGTGCCACCTCGCAGCACGGCCCCCCTGCGGCTACGCTAGTGGCCACAGGGGGGCGGTGACGCGCTTCTGGCCGAGGAGACCGAAGGAGCTGCGTGAAACGTGTGGATGGAAGCTGCAGTTTCTGCCTCACCGCGTTCGAGTCCCGCTCGGATCCCGGAGAGGCCGAGCAGACACAGGAGGCCTCGCAGCGCCGATGGCGGAGTCATGGCTGAAAAACACACATTACAGAGGTGAACGCTCGAGGAGCCGCCCGGGGAACAACGGCGCTTCGCCGGGAGACTCCAGCGACACCGAGACGTCCCATTTGGAACGCAGCGAGGCTCCTCCCCCTTTGAGACCAGCTCCCAGTGCTTCCTCACTCCCCCGTTGACGACACACCCAGGACGCAGTCACACCGGCGCTTGCGTAACGCCAGGAGCCTGGAGGAGGAACGGCATTCCTGAAGGCCGCTTCATGCGAGCCAGCGGTCCTCCTCGGGCATGAACTGCTCCAGCTGCAAAAAAACTGCTTTCCAGAGAGAAGCACATTTCTATCGCCGCTGTGAAGGCGGTACGGTGGGCTCCCCGGGGGTCCTGTCCCCTGGGGGGGCCGCTAGCTGGACCCCCGCCTGGCTGTGGATTCACTCCCTAAGTCAGAGTGAGTCCACCCGGATCCGAGCGCATGAAAGGAATCGTCCGACAGGGAAACCGGCTCCAAAGAGACAACAACAACAACAAACAACAACAACAACGACGACGACAACGAACTCATTGGAAAAGATCAAGTATTCAGTGAGTTTGATACAGATCAAACATGTCAATAACATGTGAAATGGTCTTGTGGGGCATCTGCCAATCACAGCACATTATTTCGACTGGGTTTTGATTTGAACATCGGAGACATGAACCACGCGCACGTGTTGCGTGGTCTCACGTGGTCTCACGTGGTCTCACGTGGTCTCACGGTGTGAGGCCACGTTCACATCAGCAGCTGATCCCATCAGATCTTCATATCGATCCATGAAGATCACGTAGGGCAGATTTGAGGGGACCAGCGGCGTTGTAGACATGCTTCTAAAGCAGAGCGCCAGGTGAGCGCGGCCTCGTGGAGGAAGAAGTGGTGCAGATGAGCGACTCGTCATGGAACTGTGGTGAACGTCATGAACACGCGGCGGCTCGTCTCCTGCTTCGTGGTTATCGTGCCGCTTCTCAGAAAGCCGAGCTTTCTGAGAACGAGGCCTCGCAGAACGCAGCCGGCGCCCCCCCCCCCCCAAACCGTCTCTTCATGTTCACGAGGGGGAACGAACAGCAGCCGGACTTTGTTTACCTTCACATTCACATCTGGAACAACGGCAGAATACAAGGCGCTGAACAACAGACGCTTTTGGATGATTAAACGTGACGGGAAAGATTCCAGATGTGGAAGTTAGAAGCAGCTTCTGGTGGACGCAGCGTTGCTGATGCGTTGAAGCAGAGGCTGCTGGGACATGTGGCCCATTGGAAGCGTGTCTGCCGCGGGGTCACTGACCCGCTTGTGTAACGTCTGTTTGCACAGTGGAGGCCGAGGTCCCGTTTAACAGATTACGCTCTGTTTATGGAACCTTCAGTTCGACGATCAACAGTCAACAGACAAACGTATTTATGCGTTTATATAATTCACTAGTCATTATGTTTTGTCTATAAAATGTCAGACAATATCAGTTTCAGTTGTATAATTAAAAACGTACACTTCTTATAATCAAATCAAAAGTCCGAAATCAAAACATTCTCAGTTTAGGAAGAAAATGTGATAATTTGTGTCAAACAAACGCTGGAGGAGCTGAACAACAATAAAAGTCAATGAATAAAAGTCCTAAATGGTGAAGCTCGGTCTGTGGCCAGAAGGTTTGTGTGACCTCGTTTGTCCCCGTGGACATGAGACAAAGCGCCCGTCCCCCCGTCCCCCCGTGCAGCAGGGTCCAGAGGAAGTCGCCCAGAGACGGAGAAGAGCTGAGTAAAGCAACTAATAAAAACAGGGAAGTGATCCCGAGGCCCAGAATAGAAACACAGATGGGAATCAGTCACACAGGTCCGAACCAGTACGGTCCAGCTCTGTAGGACCCAAACGGGCCCCGGGGCCTCGGGTTCTGCCCCCGAGGCTCCTGAGGCACTTTATTCTGAACATGCATTCTGGGAATGTTGGGGGCTGTTTACTGGCTGAGTATTTGTTGTTTGTATTTGTATTTGTATTACCCCCCCGTTACCCCCGTTACCCCCGTTACCCCCCCTCAGATTATCACTCAGGAACAACCTGGCTCGTTCACCTCGCCTACACTGAAGGACATGAGATGCAGCAGCAGCGTGCACAAACAACGTGCACAACAGCGTGCACAAACAACGTGCACAAACAGCGTGCACAACAGCGTGCACAAACAACGTGCACAAACAACGTGCACAACAGCGTGCACAAACAACGTGCACAAACAGCGTGATAGAGACGGAGACTTGAAAGGGACTCACACAGAAAATAGATATTGTAATAAATATAAATGACTCAAATATAAGAAAGCCAACGACACACACAGACAGACACACACACACACACACTTCGCCGCACAGAGAAATAAAACTAATGTTGTATTAAATTGGCAGTGCAGACCGACACTGGGTTTTGATTCAGTGATGATGGGAAATAATCATGTTCTTCTCCACAAATGATTGATTGATTTGAGTCTTCCGCTGAGTAGAATCGATGAACAGCTTCTGAAAGCTCCGTTGAGCGGCGGCAGCGTGTGTGTGTGTGTGTGCGTGTGTGTGTGTGTGTGTGTGTTCTTTTGTGGTCACGGTTGCGATGAACCCAGTGAGCGGTCCGTCTCCCAAAGACCGAGCAGCCGCGAGACTCATAGTTCACATGATTACAGCGAGGACAAAGAAGAGACGCTTACCTCCCAGAGGCACCGATCCAAGCGCTGGAGGAAGGACGAGGGACAGATCGGAGCTACCGGAGGAAACCCCCCCCCCAGCGCGTGATGACTCACCAGCTCCGTCCCACCTCCAGGGGGAGGAGAGACACCCGTCCACTCGCCTGAAAGCGTAGAAATGACAATGAAAAACGACGTTTCAGTGAATATTTTTGAAACCATATCAAATCAAAGTTTACAAGGTATTCAAACTGTTTCTGTAACACAATTAACACTAGAAAATATGGCTTTTTCTCAGGATACAAGTGAGAATTTGTGCTTTTCATATTCATCTCAATTGCAGAGAATATATTCTTTTTTAGTCTGAAATATCTCAATTATTTGCAACACTTTTTAAGTTTTCTTGTCCAACAAAATTATTTAAAAAAAAGTTCTCCAAGAGACAGATCCAAAGATCTCCAAAGAGAGTCAGAAACCCAAACCTATTCATTCAAAAATTAATTTATATTTAGACACATATGTCCTTTACGAATCGTCTTCATTCAGATTCATTCTCAATTCACTCACTGTTTCAAATCAGAAATACTGGTCTGGTCATTTTACAATAATGTGAAGCCAAAGGTTGAAATGCCATAACTCTAAATGAATTAAGACGGCAGATACAGTTAACAGTGTTATTACGATGTTAAAGGAAGTAGCTGTATGAAAGAGTCTACTCGTCAAAAGCTGATCAAAATGAATCTGTGACTTTTACATAAATAATAAATGACGTCTTAAGTTTCTCTGACTGCTTGTTTTCAAATATGACAATCTGCTTCTTTTCTCGCTCTTGCATTGCAGTAAATGCTGTATGACGATATTAAAACCACCGCCGGGACGTTCTCCTGCAGGGAGAGATGCATTCTGGGAATACTAATAATAATCAGTTAACGGCGTTAACGCAAAATGTTTTGCTTTATGTTGTGATCCAGTGACTGATCCTGTTTGAGGTTTGACAGTCCTACAAAACATGTAGAAGAGAAAACAAATCCAGCAAACCAATCCACATAAATGTGATTAGTTGTGATTAAATATTTAACTCGTTTGACAGAACAAATCGCTTTAGCGCGGGTTAGCGGTGAAGCGGGACAGACCAGAGAAGTCTCGGGGGTAAAGAGGACCAGCGGGGGGTAAAGTGAATCCCTGTAAAACCACCATAACAACACATGCTGTAATAGTTCGAGTTTTCTTTCCAACGAGGACGTTGCGTAAAGTGGGAACAACAATGTGGCCGTAAAAGGGTTTAAATAAACTCGTTTCACCCTCCAAAGTCCGCCGGCCGCATCGATCCCTACCGGGATGACGTCACAGCCGGTGACCGTGGTGAGGGACCGGGGGGGGGAGGATGGGGGGGGGGACTCACCTCCGAAGCAGTTACCAAAGGGCGGCGGAGACTTCCTGTTTTCGCGGGACGCTTCGGCTCCTGTCACAACTTCCCGCGCGGGACCTGTCGCAAGGAGCGTTGGGTAACGCGCGCCCCAAGCCCCGCCCCCTGCTCGCTGGGAGAACTGGTTCGCTCGGCTGCGCGCTCCTGTGACCCCGACCACGTACCAGCACGCAGAGACCTCTGGCGGCTGAGCCGGGAACCGATTTCACCATCACACCGAAGTGGTTACATTTCCTTAATATGTAGATTCCATTTATCCAATATTTATTCTACTATGATATTCGGAATGCAATAAGCACAAAAGATTGTTAGATTTTAGAGCATGTAATACTTAATAACGAAGAAAAGCACATTTTTGTAATCATGGATACAATAATATTAATATACTTATCACTTTAAATGTTACATTCAACCAAGCAAAGACATTTTCAAATCTACTTCTGTAAAACATTCAGTAAATTTAGATAAACGCATTCATATCAAACATGATGAAATCTAACAGCCATCAACCCTTTAATAAAAGGTATAAATGAGCAGTTTTCAGGTGTTTGTTGAACTAGTCAAGAGGAATATAAACGTACAGGATGTATGACAAGAAGTCACACTTTCATCAAATGCTTTGGTTTCAGATTGTTTGATGCCCTTAGTGTTTGAGGGTTAAGACATTTTTAGAAAGTAAAGTAAAAAGAATTGTCAAATGTTATAAAATATATTGAAAAAAAGATGTAGTCAATGTAACTTAGGTTGATAAATGTTTTGAAAAATAGTCAGATATTGGTAGAAAGTAAATAAGTATCTCATGGAAAAAGTAAAGGAAAAAGATTTGGTTTAAAGATTTAATTGAAAGTCAAAACAGTCAAAAACACACATTGGGAAAAAAAGTTTAAGTTGAAAATTTGTGGAGAAAAAAAAGTTAATTTGGTGAAAAAATATATTTTTAAAGTAAATAAATATGAGTTTAGAAATGTCAGAAGAATCTTCCAAATATGAAGTAAAAAATGTCAGGTCAAAAAATGCTGTGGAAAAGATGGTTCTTCAACAACATGGTTGAGTTAGTTTAACATGTCCTTTTATAAAATGTTTTTATAAAATGTTCCCCTCAGCACTTTTGAGACGAGAGATCGTAAAAAGTCAACTGGCTAGAGTTTAAAAATTAAACAATTTAATGAACAAAAGTAATAATAAATAGTTAGTTAAAAAAGTGAATAGCGTTTCACAAAACAGAGAAGTCCCCTGGTCCAGTCTCATATGACCATCAATGTCTGCTCCGTCACCAGCTCCACCCTGTGAATTCCTTTCTGCTCCAACGGGTCACATGACTCCCTCCTGGCTCCTTGAGCGCCGTGTGCAACCAGTATGGATCAACCGATTAACCAATTGATCCATATATATAAGGCGCTCGGATTATAAGGCACTGTGTTTTTTGAGGAAATTAAAGCCTTTTAAATGCGCCTTGGAGTGCGGACAATGCGGTATATTGACTTTAATACCACAAGAGGGCGCCGCGTTTGTTGAACATCGACAGGCGGACAAGAGCAGCCGCTTGGAGCGAGAGCCTTATTGTTTTATTAATCTGTCCGTTTAAATTGTTTGTGCTTCATCAGCTAATGTTTCACATAACTAATGTGCCGCGTCATAAATATTTTTATATTAATTTCAAACTTTCAAAAATTGAAAATTAAAAAACTTTATTTATTTATTGTAAATGACCTCTCGCGGCCCACCTGCAGTACCTTCGCGGCCCACCAGGGGGCGGCGGCCCACACTTTGCGAATGGCTGGTCTAGACGATGTAATGTTAATGACTTTCAGGTTCAGTGACGTGCGGTCCCCTGTGTCATCATGAAATGAGAGACCAGATGAGAGGGGGAGGTGGAGGAAGAGTTGGGACGGCCAGCCTCCTCCACCCTCTCGGTGTCATTGTGCGTTGTCCTCCTGAAGAGGAAACGTGCATTCTCCACTGTCCTTCTCCACCATCTTCCTCCTCTCATCGGAGTCTCGTGCTCTCTCCTCAGATCTGGGCGAGGTCGGTCGACGTTGGTTGGCTTGGAGATCTGCCTCCATATTCGCTTCTGAACTCATGCCACGTGACCTTTAACCACCGTGACAGACTGGAGATTTCAGGCCCTTGTGTCTCTCGGTGGTCTGCTGAGCCTTGGCCATTTCTGCCTCATGTTCTTTGACCATCTTCTGGAGGAGACTCTCCTTCAGGCTGGAAATGTTTTGCGCTTGTCGATGGTCCGCTGAGCTCTGTTCATCTCGTTCTCTTGAAGGTTCTCCAGACAACTTGGTGAGGGAGCTGTAGGAGGGAGGGGGGACATGGAGGGGGAAGCGAGGGGTAACATCTAGGGGTGTAACGATTCATTTTAACAGTAACTTCAGTAACTTTACTGGACAGTGCAGGCAAAGTTTCTGAGATCCCTGTTGTTCTTGTAAGGGAATCCCGGGTTAAAATTAATTTATGGGATATTATAAAACAAGCAAACAACAATTAATGGCAAATGTATTAAAGCTTTTTATTGTGCAACCATCTTCAATGTAAAACATTACACAATAATTACACAAATGTTTTGGATCAATTCACAGACACCACATTGTAGGGGTCGCACGTCTTTACAGATAAACTTGTTACTGTGATGTTGAGTTTGGTGCTGCAGGCCCTGAGGTGTCTGCAGAGCTGAGTTACCTGCTGCTGCTGCAGCGGTGACGCTGCTGGAGGTCCTGACTGTCGGCGTTGTTTAATCCCGCGGCGCCTTAGTAGACGGCCGCAAAGATTCCTCGTGTTTCCGTGGTTTTTTATTTGGCTTCTACATTTTCTACAAACAGCGGCCGACTTATTAAGAACACCTCCGTGTTTGCAAAAGCCAAAATGTTTCCACGCGCTGGATCGATAAGTTGGTTTGTAAATGTCTCGCTCGCAGTCGTCTCCTCCACGCGGTGTTTAGTTGCGTACTGATGACGTCACAGACAGGCAGACTGAATCCAGTAACGTTTAACGCGTCTAAAGTGCTAAAAAACAAACAAACACACACACATACACAACGTTTTTGTGCTCAAATCCAATGTGCAGTTTCCAAGTATCGATACAATCGATTATGTACCATTTCAATCGATTAGTAATCGATATATGTCGTCCGGAATGCCGATTTGCGGAGCACAGATCGATTCAGTTGGATCGCAGGAATATAAATCGATGAATCGATTCGGCGGATGAATCGTTACACCCGAGTAAAGACCCTCGTGCCGCACCGCTCGGTCCACCGTACGCTCCTTCCAAACGTGCACTGTGCTGGAAAACGCTTTCTCCGCCTCTCTCCACTATTTCTCCCTCTTCGTCATTTCCATCAGCTCCATCAGCTCCATCCTTCTTTCATCTCCCCGTAGGCAGCTTGAGTCTTTCTCTCTAACCCGAGGCAGGTGTCCTCACGGTTCCCTGTCTTCCCGCCATGCGTCCTTCTCCTCGCAGAGCTTGATGATCTGGCGCTTTTGGTTTGCTGCAACTTTCTGCAGGTCAGTGACTCTTTCCAGGCCTTCTCGGATCTTGAGTCTGAGAGTTGTTCTTCGGAGGTCGATCACCTGATTTGTCAGTAGGACGTTCCTCTCAAGGTGAGCTCCTCCATTAGACCTCCAGGAAGACTATCTAGGCCGTTTCTCGCTGTGTGCGTGTGTCCTTCACGTTGAACTAGTGTGCTGATGAAAGAACTACTTTGGTCAAGAGGAACCATTCTCACGTAGAAAGGTCTAAAATTGTTATTTTAACAATGATTATATATAATATAATTTTCACTCAAATTTCTTGACAGATTTTTTTTCCATTTATTGTTGTGGCAATTTTATAACTTCAAATCTAAACAACAATATCAGCTGATTATTCAGAACTCTGTTACATTAAAAGCTACACAAATAAAATAAGGGCAAGCTCTGCAAATGTGGAAATATAGCAACAAAACATTAGTTCCGTTCAAGACAAATGAAAGCGACATCAACAGCAGCGACAACGACACGTTTGATCACATCACACGTCATTTATCTGACGCTTTTATCCAAAGCGACTTACAACAAGAACATTTCAACCATCAGGACACAAACTCAGAAGAACAAGAAACAAATGAGCCAGTTTACAACTTGCTGTAGATAAAACATATGACCCAAGAAGGCTGCGTAGGGGTAGGGAGGAAAGTGAGAGTGGTCCCATTGAAGTGTAAACT